CTCCCAGTGGATTTGAACTCCATAAAACCAGCTACCATTTAACTGTAAATTCCAGTTAAAATAATAGGTGTACCATATGCCTAGTCATCAGTTCAGTGAATGTTGCCAAGATTTAGTCAGACTCAACATAGCCTGGCATGGGAGCATGCTCATGAGATGGAGGCAGGAAGATGAGTTTGAGGCCAGCTACATGGCAAGACAGTCAAGAAAGAAGTCAGGGATCCAGCATGTGGTACATACCTACAATTTCAGGAGACTAAATCAAGAAGGATTTCACTACATAGCAAGTTCAAAGTCTAGTTCTCCAAAAAAAGAAAAAGAAAGACAACAAAAAAAAAATGGAAAGAAGAAAGGAAGAGAGGGAGAAAGAAAGGGAGGGAGGGAGGGATGGAGGGAAGGGGAGAGAAAGGGAGGGACAAAAGAAGGAAGGGAGGAAGGAAGGAAGGAAGGAAGGAAGAAAGGAAGGAAGAAAGGAAGGAAGGAGGGAGGGAATGTTTTGCTCTACTTTGTTGCCTTTTGTTGACACAGGATCTCTACACAGCCCAGGTTGACCTTGGACTCAGTTCTACTGCTTCAGTCTCTGAGTGCCTAGATTATAGGTGCAAGCTTCCACATTCAGAAATAAATAATATTTAAATATATATTTATTATTGTGTGTGTACATAATGAAATGGCACACATGCCATGGCCCACATAAGAAGGTCAAGGGAAAACCTTGTGCAGTGAGTTCTCTCCTTTCACCCTTACATAGATTCCAGAAATCAAACTCAAGTCTCCAAACTTGCATGTTGAGTGCCCTTACCCACTGAGGTCCCATGCCAGCTCTGATAACTTTTTAATGAAAATGAGAAAGGAATTTAAGTATGGTGGCTCTCACTTGTAATTTCAGCACCCCAAAGGCTAATATAAGAGGACTCCTGTGAGGTCAAGGTCAACCTGGGGTATGTGGTAAGTTCCAAGTCAGCCTAGGCTACAGAGTAAGACCTTGAGATAGAGAAACAGACAGAGACAGCGACAGACAGATGGACAGATGGACAAACAGACCAAGAGAAAGCACATATGGACAAATGAATGTGAAAGCCATGGACTGACTCCAGCCATCATTCCTCAGGTGCCATCTACCCTATTGGGGGGAAAAACACTTCCTGGGACCTAAAGCTTTCAGATTAAGTGGTAATACCCAGGTTCTGCTTTTCTCCACTTCCCTAGCATTACATTTACACACACCTATGCAGCTGCTGAAGACTAGACTCAGGTCCTCACACTCGCTTGGCTGAGCTGTTTCTTCAGCCACAAGACTTTGTTTCTATGGTTTTAACTTCCAGTCCAGTAGCTAAACATGAAAGTATTTGCCCATTTTTTTTAATCACCTGTGACAAAGTACAGTTCAAAATGGCTGAATTAAGACAGATAACAAATTGATCTGTACAGCTAAAATATATAGAGCTAGCCACAAAAAGCTAGATAGGGGATTTACAAATGGCATAGTTATTCAGGACAATACTGATATCCTCTGCTTCCTCTCTGATAAGCTTCCATTTTCTACCTAAAGATAGAAAGATCTACTTGAATCCATGGCTAGCAATTCAATTTTCCAGCATTACTTTCTCAACATCCTAACAATAATGTTTCAGTATTTATAGTGCTGTTCTCATCACAAGCTGAACAAGGACAGCAATAGACATGCAAGAAGACCACAAATCTTCAATCCCACACAGGATACTCAAAGCAGGAGAAGCCATCTTCCCTGGTCATCTAAACCAATTGGTCAGCCCTGAAAGCATGCATACATACAGACTGAGTAGGCTATATTTAGGAATATTCATATACCTATATGCATGTAACAACAACTAATGTAAAAAGACCATAAATTTGAAAGAGAGCAAGGGAGGAAGGGAAGGGAAGGGAAGGGAAGGGAAGGGAAGGGAAGGGAAGGGAAGGGAAGGGAAGGGAAGGGAAGGGAAGGGAAGGGAAGGGAAGGGAAGGGGAGAACTATGTAATCTAAAAAAGAAAGGGAAAAATAGGCTGTGTTCAAATGGCTTGCTTGGGGCCTTCCCTGAAGCACTCACACTCATCCACAGAAGCTGATACCACATGCCCAGCTGATACCAACCGCCCACATTTAGAGTAGAAAAGGCTGACCTTAGCAGGCAACATACACTAAAGCAAAACAAAGGGGGTTTCTCAAGAGCTAGACGCTTTCACTAAAAAGGGAATGGACAAATGCTTAAATGCTCACTCCCAATGAGGACTGTCTATCTGTTCATATTGTCACCTCATAATACTTGGATCAGAGTTGATGTTTGAAAAAGGGTTTTCAGTAAGCAAAACCCCAAGTGTCCTGTATGATTCCACCTCTACAGTGTAATAAATTGCAACAGATAAAAAGAAGTGTGATGGGGAATGGTTTCAGTACTCAGGATTGAATCAAAGGCTTTGAGTAGGCTGGGAAACATCTTCCCATTATATGGAGAGAACGTTAGCCAGGAAATGCTAAACAGAGAGACATCAAGATCAGTGACAATGCCGTTGGACAAGCTACATCTTTTTTACTCCCACTTCTTATTCTTGATTGCAAGACAGGGCCTAGTAAATAAATTTCCTAGGTTAGACTTGAATTCATATTGTAGCTAAGGCAGACCTTTGATCCTCATGTATTAACCTCCAGAGTAGCTGAATCATGGGCCTGTGCCCCTAAGCACCATTAAGACACAGTCTACCAAAAAAAAAATCACTGAATTCATAAATAGTATCAAGTAGTATCAAGAGTTATGAAGCTTATCCAGACATAGTGATGCACACCTTTATCCCAGGATTTAGGAGGCAGAGGCAGGGGGATCCCCTATGAGTTCTAGGCCAGCCTGATCTACATAATGAGTTCCAAAACAGCTAGGACTACTGGTGAGACCCTGTCTTAAAAAAAGTTTAAAAAGTTCAAAGATAAAGAATTGTTACAGATTAGTGGAAACCAAAGAGGTAAGCCACTAAATATAACATATAGTTGTAGATTGAATTTGCTCTAAATCAAGATGAAACAAAATGTTGCTATAACATTAGAGGAAATCTGTAGATTAGATAATGCCAGAGTCATGAATATTCTTGGTTGTCAACTTGACTACATTGGAAAATGAACTAAAATGCAAAACTGGAGGGCACATCCAAGGGGGGATGTTTTTTGCTTAATTTGACATAGGTAGAACCACTTCCAATCTGGACTTTGAGGTGGGAAGACACACCTTTAATCTAGGCCACACCTTCAGGATCTAGAAGAAGAAAGCTTTTGCTCTGTGCTTGCTTACTCTCACATTATTAGCAAGTCCATTCCTTCTCTGGCATTAGAGCCTAATTCTTCAGGATTCCAAGTATATATTAAAGACTAACTAAAACTGAGCAACTACTGGATTCTTGGACTTTGCACTCACAGTAAGCCATTGTTGGACTAGCTGTACTACAGCCTGTAAACCATCTAGGAAATCCCCTTTCTATCTATAAAGAGAGATTCATTTTATAAGTTTTGTTATTCTGAGAGCCCTGACTAATATATCAGAGTTTTCCTGCTTTGGGAACTTCAACATTGGTGGCTGAGGGTATGGTCCTGTGGTCATTAGCCATCTAGGTGACAAAATATCCTGGGTTAGAACCAGCACCTTGAGAAGAAAGGAAGACAGGAAAGAGGGAAGCAGAGAGATGGGGCACCATTGCCCTGTATTGGTATTGAGACGAGAAGCACAATACACACACATTGCTTTGACAGACGGGCAGATAAGCAACAGACACATAAGTTATTGGATGGGTGGAAGAGATAGTATCTGGTGTTTTACTCAATAGAATACTTTCAATACAGCTAGTATCAAGCTACCAATGAATCCAATAATGGAAAGACAGACTCACATTTGACTTTTGTGGGCTGATTTGTGTGTCTGTGAAGGGTAGATTCCAGCACACCCCTGCGTACTATGTAGTACTGATTGCTACTTTTGTGAGTTTCCTGTAGTTGCTAAATCACTCCAAGGTATTTTTTTTTTCTGTTTTTGTTTTTGCAGCATGATCTCACTGGGTAGCCCAGCTTGGCCAAGAAGTCACTATGTAGCCTAGGGCAGTCTTTAACATCCACAGTCAGGAAGCAGAGAGGTGAGGAGATGCTACTCAGTCTGGTTGGGTCTTCTCTCTTTGGTTAAACTTTCTGGAAATAGCCTGCTAGACACATGGACTTGTGTCCATATAGTTCTAAATCTAAGCAGGCTGACAAAGAAAATCAACCATCACACCACCTCTGCCCTGTCCTGTCCTGTCCTGTGCATGGAATGTGTATCAAAGAACCAGGGTGTGTGTAGAGGAGAGGGTCAGCACAGCCCTGATGCTGGTAACCTCCTGAAACCTATGTCTGTCATGGGGCAGTCATATCCTCTAAAGAGCAGCAAGGACAATGTGGACTTTTGTTCATGGGAAGTTATAAAGAGCCAGATGTGGGGGAAACTAAGGCAGGGTGGCAGATCTCAAACTCAGGCCAGGCCTGGCTACATTAATTTTTTTTTAAAAAAATTAAGAATATATTAAACTAGTGGCCATTATGCAATCAATTACTGGGTTTAGAAACTCTGTGCCCCACATCCTATTCTTTGAATAACCTGTTTTTCTTGGGTTCAGTTGAGGCAAAAGTTATCTTGTCATAACAGAACTTATACACAATAACAAAGCACAACCATCATAGATGTGCTAAAATGGTGGGAGTCTTAGGCCTGCTAAACATTATTAGCTTTCAACATCATTCTAAGCTGTGAACATGGTGAGGCAGATGGTTCTTATAGCAATTGTCAAGATCTTAGATGCTTTAGAATTCACAGGAAGATGCAGTCCACAATATCTAACTTCTCAATCCTATACACAGGCACATGAGTTATACCAGAGTGACTGCCAAGTTACAACATAACAGCGAAAACCAGAACATTTTAGATGAACATATATTTAATGATTCTTTTATTTAAATATGTGAGTTCCCAAAATATCACATGACTGTTTTACACTTGTCTCGGCCTGCATGCCGCAGCTCATCTAAAATGTTCCTGATGGTCTCAACACAAACTTCTCCTCTGTGGTGCTTTTTTGATGCAAGATTCCATACATTTTCAAATTCTTCTTCAGAAAGCTTTACTCCGATGTTAGTTAATATATCTGAAATCTAGAAACAATAAATTTAAAGCCAGACCAAGATTTATATCTTTAATATTATATTTTTTAAATTAAGTAAAATAAAATTTCTATTTAAAAAACTTTACAACATTTAATACAATGAACACTGACCCTCCCCCAAAATATATGTGTTCACATGTACATATGTGCCTATACATATAAAATGAGAAGGTATCAAAATTCCAGCACTTTCCAGACACATGGGAGGGTGGTCCTTTCCTGTGCCCCTAGCACTTGGGAGGCTGAAGTAGAAATCCTGAAGTTTGAAGCCAGCCTGGCCTACACAGTGAATTACAGGTAAGCTTGTGTTGCAGACTGAGACCTTCCCTCCTCTGGGGCAGTGAAAGGTGGCTTAGCCAGTGAAGGTGCTTGTTTCAGGACTGATGACTAGATTTGATCCCCTAATCCCACATCACAGAAGGAAAGAACTGATTCCCACAAGTTGTCCTCTGACATCCATACATGAAGCACACAGACAAAATTTAAATTTAACCCCCAAAATAAAAATTAACTGAATTTAAATTAAAAGCAAAAAACAAAACAAAACAAAACAAAAAAAACCCCCACTGGGCATGATAGTTTGTGCTTGTCAGCACAGCACTCAGGAGGCAGAGGCAGGGAAATACTCTTGAGTTGAAGGACTACTGACCTACATAGTAAGACCTTGTGGGAGAGGGAAAAGAATTATACAGTATACCCAAAAAAAAAAAAAAAAAAAAAAAAAAAAAAAGAAAGAAAAAGAAAAACGTAGCAGCTTGTTACAACCTGTACCAAGAGTTCTAATTGGCCTTAATAATATAAACCTAAAGTCGGATATTAGAGGATTAAAGCTGAAAGATCAGAGTGGAGCACACAGCCACTAGAGTTCTTACCTCTATGAAATTCTCAGACTGAAAGGGGGCTGGCTCCTGTCTTTGCCTGCCTTATATTCCTCTCTCCATCCAAACATTTCTCTTCCTGTTTCCTCCTCCCAAGTACTGGGATTAGGTGTGAACCACCACTACCCAGCCTCTTTGGTTAACTAGTGGCTAGCTTGGAACTCTGGTCCCCAGGCAAGCTTTATTTGTTAAAGCACAAATAAGGTATCATCACATTATGCATATTATTGTGTTTTCTTTGAAGTTTTTGACTATTAATGAATTAACTACTAAGAGACATTTGATTGTGGGGGCTACTAAGTTAAACCAACATATATATTTTAAAGATATCTTGACTTCAAAATTTAAGTCTATGGATATGTTGCTTTGGAAAAGAGGTTCTGACCCAGGTGATCCAATATCCACAACATTTTCAAGGCTATTGGCTGAGATGGATCAACCACACTAAATACCCCAGTCAGGATTTGGCTATTCTCATGGACCCTAAAGATACATCATCCACAGACAGAAGAAAGTAATTTATGGAAAACAACACCCACATTGCCAAGATTTAGGGGTGGAGTGGATATGGATGGTCTTTGGTTATTTCAAAGGTTATGGATGTTTGTTATATTTAGGGGGATAGAGAATAAAAAGATAACTATAATTTCAAAATACTTTACATTCGTATGGATTTTGGTTTACTGACACAAATTTAAGATCAATTTTGTTATGCATATATTTTTATATTTCTACTTTTAGTATTCTTATGCAGTACATTTAAAATGTATAGTTAAGAAATACAAATTAATAGTCATTTGTAATACTCAAATTTATAGTCATGTTAGTTTTCAAGATATACAGAGATATTTCAGATGGATAGGTAATCTTCAAAAACTTCAAAGACCTACAGAATATGGCATTTAAAATGTTTTTAAGAACTTAGACTTTTTTTGACAGTGAGACACCTGACAGCGCCAATTACTTCAAAAGAATGATAGGCATGGAAGAAACTCCTTATGGAGTTTGCTTTCAATGTGGGCAAGAAACTGATCTTGCATGGATTGCTTGACAATATGCTACACAAAATGGACATGCAGGACCCACAGGAAAATGACTACTAAACTTGCCAAAACAAGGTGGGACAGTCCTTCAGATTTCCTGCTTCATAAAAGAGTCAGCCAGACATTCTGCAGGACACAGAAGAAAGTGACTGGAGAATTTTTCCAAAATAGGTGGAACAGTGCTTCAAATTTCCTGCTTCACTGAGAAGTCTGCCAGATATTCTAAGTCTGTAGGCTGAAGATGAATGTCCCAATGTTACAAAAAACAAAAAACAAAAACTTTGGGTGACTATCCAGGCAGCCATATTTCTCTATCATTTCTAGAGTTTTGGAAGTTGCTTCCAATGTACTTCCTGTTTACTTAGGTAATATTATATCCTTCTGGGGTCTTTCATGGAATTGAAGTCTAGATATTTATAATTATAGTTTTCCTTAGTTATGATCAAAAATAAATTAGATATAAAACTTTAGACTCACAAAGATTGGATAGAGTATTTTCTTTAATTTTGTCAAATATAAATAGACTAAGCATTATAACTATAATTCTTACTTAATACCTGTTTTGTTATATGTAATTTTACAATATTAAAGTTAAAACCTTCCTTTTAATTAGACAGAAAAGGGGAAATGATGTGAGATGTCCTTCTGTGTGCTGTGAATATGTGTTGCTTTTATTGGTTGATGAATAAAGCTACTTTGACCTATGGCAGGGCAGAATATAGCTAGGCCGGAAAGCCAAACTGAATACAGAGAAAAAGATTGGGTTCAGGGAGAGACACCAGCCAGCTTCTGAGGAAACAAAGCATGTAGAAAATGAGGTAACACCATAGTCACATGGCAATACATAGATTAACAGAAATGGGTTAATTTATATGTAAGAGCTAGATAGTAATAAGCCTGAGTGATTGGCCAAGCAATTATAAGTAATATTAAGTCTCTGAGTGATTATTTTATAAGTGGCATTGGGACCAGGCAGGACACAGAAAAGCTTCTGCCTATACAACCAAACTGAATATCATTTATTAAGAATCCTATATTTGAGGATCCCTATATAAGCTATAATTCTAAAAAGTCAACTATGATAGTCATGGGCTAGGACTGGGACTAGCACTGGGATTGAGGCTCAGTTGGTAAAGTTCTTACCTAACATGCAAAAAAAAAATAAACAAAACCTATATTTGATCCCCAGTCCAACAAGTACCAGGCACATACCTGTAATCTCAACACTCAGGAGTTGGAGGTAGGAGAATAAGAAGTTCAAGACCAAGACCAATCTCAGCTATATAGCCTGGACCACACAGGATGATGATGATGATAATAATAATAATAATGGTGATATGAATTAAATTAGAAGCAATACCTTATGCCTATAATCCCTGCACTCAGTAGAATGAGGCACTAAGATCATGATTTCAAGACCAGCCTGAGCTACATAGCAAAACCCAGTCTCAAAACAAATAAATAAAACACTAGCCAAATATGTTGGTTCATGCCTTTAGTCCCAATGCTTTGGGAAGCTGAGACAGGAGAACCACCCAAAGTTGTAGGCCAGTATGGGCTACAAAGTGAGTTCCAGGCCAGAGCGGGGTAAAGAAGTGAAATACCACCTGAAATAAAAATAAGATTAAAGACAACAATAACTAAACTGGTCACAATAATAATAGTGGTCATTGGTAAGTCAAAATTTGTCTTTGTATATTTATTTGCATAGGATTGGGTGATTTCTGTACCTCTTCCTTTGATCTGGTCTTGAAGAAGTCTCTCTCAAATACACCTTTCTGGGAGAAGATGGAGGGGTGCAGCAGTGAGTAAGCATTGCCCTCTTCACCATAATTATTCATGTCACTGACACGATGAATCCGAGGAGCAGGAATGTCAGATCGAACGGTTGGAACACCATATATGGGGTAACCTAGGTCATCAATGAGGGAGAAAAAGATACACAGAAACCCAGCTGTAAAACAGCAGCCACCAGTCACATTTGACCATTGAGGACTTTCAATGTAACTGATCTAAACTACAATGGCTTAGATGTAAAATTCAAAGACTATATAAAAAGGCAGAGTGTGGCCAAGCACAGAAAGACACCTTGGCTTCAGGGACATAACAGGCTGAGGCAGGGGGGATAGGAAAGCATTCAACATGCTCATTAACTTGGGCTATCATGAACAGGTCAGTAAAACATATCCTGAGTGCTTACAGCATAGAGTTAAACATAAAATCCAAAGCCTTGAGAAACAAATAGTCTAATACAGAGAGAGGCTAGGGACAATGCCAGGACACATTATGGACATTGCAATTACTTCATAAGGAATGTGACATGCTTACACATAGAAGGAACAGCTCCAACAATTGCATTGATCTCTGAAGAAGTTGTCTTATAGTGGTTAGAAACTTTGTCACTTGGTCTCAGGAGTAACCGAACAGTCTCTTCTGAACTTCCTGGTTCTTTGGGGACTATATCTTCAGGCTGTATCAGAAGAGTTGGCTGCTCAGCTTCTCCCGTGGTAGCCTCAGTAGTGTTGTTACAGTCTTGTTTTCTACCTTGGAGAGACAGGGAACAAAAAAGTATGGGAAGACATCACTTCTTGGTGCTTGCTGTTCTGTAACAAGCTAGATTATTTGGACAGGCAAGATTGCTCAGTGGGTAAAGGCATTTGCCACCAAGCCTGACAGCCTGAGTTAGAGCCTCAGGACCTACAGAATGGAGGGAAAGAACTGACCCCTTCAAGTTGTTCTCTGACTTCTACATGTGCACTGTGACATGTGCAGCCACATATATATGTACATACACATAATATGATAATCAAATATAATAATAATAAATGTAATGATTTTTCAAGATTGATTTCCTGGTAGCTGCTTCCTAACATTGGAACCGAAACCTGTGAAGCCGCCTCCAGTGCCATTGCTCCACTGTGGAACAGCAAGTTCAGGCAAATGTCAGGCATGATCCCAGTATGAACTCATATCTCTTTTTCTGCTCCTCCACTTTATTCCAGAAAAATCTTTGCAGTCAGAGAACCCTTTATTTTTCTTCCAAATCAGAGTAAACCCAGAGACTCATGAAAGCTAGAAAAGTCCTCTACACCTGAACTGTCTCCTTGGCTCTCCCTTTATTAGAGCTCACCCTCCTATTTAGCTTGAACTAACCCTAACCCTAAACCTAAATCTAACACTAACCCTAACCCTAACCCTAACCCTAAATCTAACGCTAACCCTAACCCTAAACCTAACCCTAAATCTAAGGCTAACCCTAACCCTAACCCTAAACCTTAACCCAAACCCTAAACCCTAATGCAGAGAAAGGGTAAGAACCTGCTATGAGCTGGGGGCCTGAATCTCTAACTTCATACAAGTAAGTACACAGGAAAAAACCCAGGACTGTGGAACATCATGGAAGCACATGCAGCTAGCATGCACCAGGCACCAGGACCAATCCAACGCCGAACACCGAAAAGTCAAAACCTTGAGGTAGAACTGAAACTGCAGACTCATTTTATCAGTCTCTTCAGAAAGCTAAGGCTTCTTTTCGAATAGCTACCTACTCCACCGGTACCACTAGAGGGCACTGTGGTGTTTCCACGGCCACAGAAGAACGCTGAGGAAATCCTTGCAAAGGTTGTAAAGAGCTCCCAGAGCCTGTTCAGATCTACAATGTAGGCTGCATGCCCTGAGAGCTCCAGATTCTCTACCTAAAAGCAGAAAACTGCACAGTTTGAAAAGTTGCTAGCCATAAAACTGAAAGGCAGTCACTATAAATACCTGTCCCCCCAAATGCCAGGCCTGAGACAGAATGTGGTGTAGGAAATGCACTGTAAGGCTGGGTAGAGTGACACAGAGCTATAATCCCAGTACCAGGGCAGCTGAGACAGGGGGATGATAAATTGTAAGACAGACTGGAATAAATAGAAGCAAACCTTGCCTCAAAAACAAAATAAAAAACAAGAAAAAGTCCAGGAAGAGTCAGGCAGTGGTTGGCACATGCCTTAAATCTTAGCAGACGCAGGTGAATCTGAGTTTGAGGTCAGCCTGCTCTACTGAATGAGTTCCAGGACAACCAGAGCTACACAAAGAAGTTCTGTCTCAAGAGGAAAAAAGATGAGGAGGAGGAAAGAAAAGAAAGGAGGGAGAGAGGGAAGGAGGGAATAGGAGAGAGGAATGGAGGAGGAAGGGAGGGAAGGAGGGAGGAGGAAGAAAGAAAGGGAGAAGGGTGGGAGGGAGAGAAGAAACATATCTATAATCCAACAAATCAGAAGATGAGGCAAGTGACTAAAATGCAAAAAATACAATAATACAACAAATAAAGGAACTACCTGACTTGAAAATAATCCTCTACTTTTTCTTAAGATCATGAGTTGTGTGTGCCATGAAAGGGAAGAATTCTCACATCTATAATCTTAGTACTTGAGAAACAGGGTTAAGAGGCTGCCACATGCAGGTGGCCAGCCTGGAGAATTTGTTAAAAAAAAAAAAAAAAAAAAAAAAAAAAGGCCAGGGAGATGGATCAGCCAGCAGGTAATGGTGCTTGCCTCCAGGCTGACATTCCAAGTTCTATAGATAGGACCCACATGAGGGAAAGAGTGCTAACTCCCACAAGTTGTGCACTGCCCTTCAGATCCCTCTGCATTCTCAATGGGTGAAGAGAGTAATGTCCCAGATATAAAGGGCTTACGTCACCAAGAAGGGTGGAATTTAGTTTTTTGGTTTTTGTTTGCTTTTTAGTTTTAGCCTTACAAAATGACATGCCAACCCAGGAATAAAAGCAGAAATAGCAGTGCTATTATTTTGGAGAGACACTCCACAGGGGAAATAAAAAATGTCAGTAACCTTTTAAAAAGATAATCCGAGCAACCAGATGCTGAAAGTGGAAGCCAAGGCAGTATGGACCAGATAAATTGTAGCCTGAAAAATAACTCTCAACAGACTTAGCTGATAAAACTGCACATTCAGAAAATGCTACAAGCATTTAGAAAAGCAAAGTACAGTCAAAGTTGGTCCTGACACGATAGCATTCATTAGAAACAAGATAAAGTAGAAATAGAAAATTTCTGAGGTGTGGTAATCACAGAGCTGCCTGTATTACCTTTAAAATATCTGGAAAGAACTTAAATTTCAGAGTGAAGGATGATTTAGGAAATCAGACTGCATAAAAAAGTTTGACAGGCCCGAAGATGGATTTGTGAAAACCACAAAAGGCTCTCTTGCTGGGCGTGGTAGTACAGCACATATTCAAGGAGGCAAGACAGGCTCTGAGTTCAAGGCCAGCCTAATCTACAGAGTGGCTTTCAGGATAGGCTCCAAAGATACAGAGGAACCTTGTCTCAGCTTATTCTATCTCCAAGGTCACTGGGTAAGCACATGATGTACATACATACATGCAGGCAAATACTCATACACATAAAATAAATCTGAATAAAAAGTAGATGGGCAGGGTGGGCCTTGCCTATAATCCAAACACTTGAGAGGCAGGAGGATTGCTGCTAGTTTAAGACCAAAGCTAGACATCAGACTGGCCCATATAGTGAAACCTTTTCTTAAAACAAACAAGCAAGCAAGCAAGCAAACAAACAAAAACAAGGGGCTGCAGAAATAGCTCAGTGGTTAAGAGTGCATACTACTCTTAGAGAAGATCTGGGTTCACTTCCCACTACCATATGGTGAGTCATCTGCCTGTAACTCTTGTTCAAGAGGCTCTGACACCCTCATAGGGACCCCATGAGTACTTGCAAACATACCTACATGAACACACATACATATACACATAATTTAAAACAAAAATAAATTTTTAATCCCAAATTTATATAATAAAGAAGAAAGGAAAGAGAGAGGGAAGGAAAGAAGAAGGGAGGAAGGGAGGGAGAAGTAGGGGGCAGGCATAGTCACATATCTGTGGTATCCCAGCACTTAGGTGGCGCAGCAGAAAAATCAGGTTACCTGGGTTGCCTCAGCTATACAGAAAGTTCAAAACCAGCCTGGGCTACAGGAGATTTTGCCTCAAAAGATATAGAGGGATCAGGGGAAGGAGAAAGAGCTAAAAATAGAAAAGATAATAGGAATGTTTTCAAACTCTCAAAGAAAATTCTATTCATAAGCCAGGCATGACAAAACATATCTAAAACTCCTAATCACAGGAGTTTCTGAATTCTAGGCCAGCAGGGGCAATACAGTGAGACTCTGTCACAAAACATAAATATAATCAAGAAGTATGGGAAACAGATACATACTTGTAATCCAAGCACTCAGAAATCACACACAGGAAGATCACTGGACAGTTCATGTGCTGCCCAGTTCTAGAATTGAGTTCCACCACACACCACAAAAAAGGGGGGCTGAGGATTTGCTCAGTGACAGGGTGCTTGCTTACTGTGTAGAAGGTTCTCAATGTTATTGTATGTGTATGGGCGCCTTGCCTGCATGTCTATCTGTGCACCACATGCATGCCCAATATTTGCAGAGACCAGAAAAGGGTGTCATATGTAGCCCATAAGCTACAAACATTTGTGAACCTGTAAGCCCTGGAAATTAAATTCAGGTGTTCTGTAAGAGCAGCCATTGTTCTTAACCACTGAGCCATCTCTCCTGCCCCTATGTAAAAATTTAAAAATCATACATTTTTATGTCAAATTCTATTTCAATATTTATTTTTCTTGAATGTGGAGAAGTAACTAAAATGGGGTTTTCAAAACCCTTCACAGGGAACTATTAAATTTTGAGATTCTAAGTAATTTACTTTTTAATTTTTAAATAAGTACATAGTCCCAATATCAAAACATACAAAATCATACATAGAAAAGTTAAGTCTCTGGTTAGGAAAAGAAGGGGGACAAGAAAGAGTAAACACTGTTAAATATACTAATTCATGTATGAAATGTCATAATGAAACCCATTACTATGTATAACTAATATATGCTAATTTTAAAAATTTTTTAAAGTTAGTCTCCTCTGTAGTCATAAGTAAGCCAATCAGGTTCCTCTCCTCACAGCTCCACTGTGCAATGGCTGTGAATAGCAGCATTCTTGAGAGTATATACGACCTACTACTGTTTATGTGAGCTGCTCTAAGGGACCATGGCAACAGTGTTCTAGGGGACATTGATATTCCTGACACAATGCTGTCTCCAAGCTAGGATGGGAAGCCCCAGAGAACAGTGGCCAGAGTTCACATTACCCAGGCACCGTATTTCTCTGGACCAAGTTGCAGAAAAAGAACCATGTAACAGAAGGCCCATTTATAGCTAAGTTTGCATTCCCTGGTCACCAGAAGATGCACATCTCAAAGAAGTGGGGTTTCACCAAGTGAAAAACAATTGAATTTAAAGACATAGCAGCTGAAAAATTATGCAATGGGGTGAGGACAGCATCTTCAACAAATGGTGCTGGCACAATTGGATGAGAGTGTGTAGAAGACTGCATATAGACCCATGTCTGTTGCCATGCACAAAACTCAAGCCCAAATGGATCAAAGACCTCAACATCAATCCAGCCACATAGAACCTCTTAGAAGAGAAAGTAGGAGCTACCCTTGAACAAATTGGTATAGGAGACCGCTTCCTGAACATAACTCCAGGGGCACAGACACTGAGATCAACAATTAATAAATGGGACCTCTTCAAACTTAGAAGCTTCTGTAAGGCAAAGGACACAGTCGACAAGACCAAACGGCAGCCCACAGACTGGGAAAAGATTTTCACCAATCCTATATCCGACAAAGGGCTGATCTCCAAAATATACAAAGAACTCAAGAAACTAGTCAACAAAACACCAAATAACCCTATTAAAAAATGGGGTACAGAACTGAAGAAAGAATTCTCAATAGAGGAAATCAAAAAGGCTAAAAGACACATAAGAAAGTGGTCCACATCCTTAACTATCACGGAAATGCAAATCAAAACAACTTTGAGATACCATCTTACTCCTGCCAGAATGGCTAAAATTAGAAACACCAATGAGGACTCATGCTGGAGAGAATGTGGAGAAAGGGGAACACTCCTCCACTGCTGGTGGGAGTGCAAACTCACACAGCCATTTTGGAGAGCAGTATGGTGGTTCCTCAGGAAAATGGGAATTAGTTTACCACAGGACCCAGCAATCCCCCTCTTAGGCATATACCCAAATGATCCACATCCATGCAACAAAGACACCTGTTGAACTATGTTCATAGCAGCACTATTTGTAATAGCAAGAACCTGGAAGCAACCTAGATGCCCCTCAATTGAAGAATGGATAATGAAGATGTGGCACATCTACACAATGGAATACTACTCTGCAGAAAAAAATAATGGTATCTTGAAATTCGCAGGCAAGTGGATGGCACTTGAAGAAACCATCCTGAATGAGGTAACCCAGTCACAAAAAAGAGGAACATAGTATGTACTCACTCATATATGGATTTTAGACCTAGAGCAAAGGATCACCAGCCTATAATTCACACCACCAGAGGAACTAGGATACAAGGTGTATTCTAAGAGATCCATATAAAGTCTCTCACAGGACTGGGAAGGGACAAGTCCCCCAGAGCACAGGGGAAGTGGAAGCGAATGGAGAGAGAAGTAGGCGAAAACGAGGGGGAGGAAAGGAAAACACCAGGAAGATTGAGCCCGGTTAGGAATAGAAGACAGGAGAGAGAGAGAGAGAGAGAGAGAGAGAGAGAGAGAGAGAGAGAGAGAGAGAGAGAATATAAAAGAGGGAGCCAATATTGGTTTGAATAAAATTGAACACAAAGAAAGGTCTAGAGAACTACAAGGCTGCCACCAACTAACAATTTGAGCATCCGTGGAAAGGCTACCATAAATGCCCTTCTCAGATAGTAACTTCTCAAAAACTAACTTATCCATGGAGCCCTCATCTAATACCTGTTGGAAACAGGAGCAAACACCCATATACATAAACACTGAGTCCAACTAGAACCCAGAGGCAGATTGAGAGGAAAAGACCAGGTGGCAGAAACGCATAGAGACAGCTTACCTGAACAAGGAGGAGCTTACGGGCCCCCAGACTGATAGCTGGGAAGCCAGCATGGGACTGACTCAGGCCCCCCTGAATATGGGTCTCAGCCAGAAGGACTGAGCAGTCTGAGACCTCAGACAGGGGATCCAGGATGTATCCCTGGTGCACAAAAGGACCTTGCGAACACATCTCCAAGGGAGGGATAACTACCTTAACCTGGAGACAGGAGAGAAGCCCTAGTCCCTACTTCACATGACCTGTCAGATCTACAAGACCCCAACTGGATAGCATTCCCCTACATATGGAATTGGGGTGGGGGATGGGAGGGGAGGGTGTTTAGGGTGCATGTGAGAGGGCAGAGAGGATAAAAAGAGAGGGAGGGAAGAAAGAAGGAAGGGAGGGAGGGAGAGGGAACTGGGATCGACATGTAAAATAATAAATTTAAAAAATAAAAATGCTTTGACTCCAAAATTTAAGTTCAAGGACAAGTAACTGGGGAAAAGTTTTTCTATTTTTGTTTCCACAGAAAATGAAAAGCTGTGGATTCCGTCCAGACTAATGTGGTTTGATCAAGCCAGACCGCCTGAAACAGAGTACCAGGTGATCCTACATTCAAAACAGCTGGACAAAGCAGCCTTGTAGACTACAGCCAGGATGTTTGCATCTCTTAGAATCCCCCAAGACAGCACCCCTTACCAGCAGGAAGTAGTTTGGGAAGAACGATGCCCAAATCCCCAAATATTGTCTATAAATGTTTGTTTTCATTTAAATGGACTTAGTTATTAAAAAAAAAAAAAGAAAGAAAGAAAAAAGACATAGCAGCTGAGAAGTTATCTTCTAAGGCTAAGGAGTCAAATACATCCCCAATTGCTGCCCTTTGGACAAGTGGCTAGCCTGCACTCAGGAGAACTGCCATTTGCTTAATGTCCTGTCCCAACAATCATGTTCACTAACGAACCTTATACTTAATTAAAAGAAAAAAAAAAGCAAGTCTCATCGTTGCCCTTAGCCACACACTTCCATCTGCATGAGGGCTTTCAGATTCTTTCCTTCCCTTCCCTATACATCCTCCACATGAACAAACACATGCGCATATCACCCTAGTTTCCCTCTCTGTTGCAGTGATAAATACCATGACCAGAAACAATGTGGCTGAGTAAAGGGTTTATTTATCTTACACCAGGTCTCAGTCCAGCATTGAGGGACATGAGGGCATAAACTGAAGCAAGAACAGAACCAGAAACTATGGAGGAACATTGTTTATGCTCATGCTCAGCTACCCTTTTTTTTTTAAGATTTACTTATTATTTTTTATTTATGTGATTCTGTGTGAGGCTTCATGACTTTATGTGCACCACATTCATGCCAAGGCAGTCACATGAAGGTGTGAGCCACCTAATGTAGATGTTGGGAATTGAACCTACTGGCTAGGAACTGGCCCTTCTGCAAAAACAATAAAACTCTTAACCACTGAGTCATTTCTCTAGCTCCTCCAATAGCCTTAAACAGCCCAGACCTGCCTACCTACCTAGGGATAGTGCTGCCCTACAGTGAACTGTCCCCTTCTGTGAACTGTCCCCTTCTGTGAACTGTTCCCTCTGAGTAGCTTGGGCCCTCTTACATGAACCATCAATAAAGACAATCTCTCACAGAATCTAATCTGGTCAGTCCCCCAGTTAAGAATCCCTAGGTTGACTCTAGGCTGTGTCAACTCTGACTGTTGAAAGCTATCTAGGATACATACTATTAAAGTTGGTTGAAATCCAATAATTCAACAAGCTTTAAAGAAATACCTTTAATAATGACCCTCTTCTCATACTCTGTGAGAGGTACTTTATCTTTCCAATTAAGGAAATTGGCAAATTCCACATAGTTAATCAGGCCATCCTGGTCCACATCACAGTACTCAAACAGCTGGTTCAGAAGCACCTCGTCTAGATGCAGGTTTGCTTGGTCACAAGCTTCATGGAGTTCTTCTCTGTCAATCATCCCATCTCCCTTCTGTCAACCAGTAAGCAAAGGTGGGTAAGCTGAGTATGGTCTCTAACAAAAAAAAAAAAAAAAGACATGGCTCTAGCACACACAAACTCAGCAAATTTCAACCTCTACTAAGAAGAATCAAATATTGTGTATGTAAAGCAAGAGTTATCTTCATTGAGTCAACCTGCCCACCTGATAGACATACTTTGTAGTTTGTGATCCTACTACAAGTAGAATGTAATTCAGAACCTTTTGTTATTGGTCCTGAAGATTGAATCTAGGCCCTTGCACACAGTCAACACATATGAACTATGTTCACAACCCCACTTATTTTAATCATCTTTTTCTTTTTTTCCTCCTTATTTATTTTAATATTTTATTATTTTCAGGCAATGTCTCATGTAGTCCAGGCCAGTTTTAAGATCAACTCTGTAGCTGAGAATGGCCTTGAATTCTGATCCTCTGCCTCCCAAATGCTGGGATGACAGGCTTGTTCTCACACACCCTGTTTAATCATACCCTTTAAATCAAACTGACTGTACTGGAATGTAGCTGGCATAATCATAAAACATGCTTGGCATTTCACTTGAGCAATGTTTTGCATGTCTGACAGCTCATTACAATTTTTCATGCTGACAGAGTTTTTAACACCTTCTTTTTCTCACCAGGGCCATAAATGATCCTGTACATCACTGCTTACTATCAAGGAAAACAGACATGAGATTACAAAGCAAAGTGTATGGAGACCTGTGTTTGCTTGATATTTCTCCCACTAGCAAGAAAAAGAAACTACCCCCATTGTAACAGTGTTAAGATTCATTCTTACAGGGAGGAAAAAACCCCTGGTCTCCTTTCACATAATAGTTAAAGGCAGAAATACCTACACTAAGTGTTTTGGAGGGAAATTGATGAGAGTAAAGAGAAATTTGGCTGGTTCTCTTAGGAGATGGGGGGGGCAGAGTATATAACACCTATTAAAGAAGAAAGACAACAGCTAAGACATCTTAACCACTTGGTGCCCAATGCATCTCAAGCCAACCTTAGATGCACTCAAAGATGATGCTAAGGAGCCAAGGATTTCATTTTGTGCACGCCACCCCTATCCCATGGGAGATTGCTTTGGGTGAATTCTGGATGCTATATGTAGGGATATAGCTCAAGAGTAGAGTATTTGCCTCAAATGTGTAAGGTCCTGACTTCTATTTAAAGAGAAAAAAGAATATATGAATGTATTGGCCCATTAAAGAGATTTAGGGGAATCTGTCAAAAGAAACTACTTATGAATGAATCATTGAGCATTACTGGGGCTCCACCAGCCCAGAGATGAATTCACAATGCCACTGAAGATAAACCACTGCAGAAATGGGCTGATGAGTGAATTCTAAATAAATTACTGTGGCCCTCATGTTGTTAACACATATTACCATGACAATAGTTATAAATGTCTTAGATTAAGGTAAACTCTTTTATACATGTTTCTATGGCAAATCCAAATCAACCAAAACCTTGAACCTGCTACCCTGACAGGAAAGTAATGTGGTAGCTAATGACAGAATCAAAATGTCTACAAACCTAAAATAGATATTGTCAATAATGACAGCTTTGTTGCCCAATACAAGGCTTGTATTTTCGTTGAACTCCATGTCACTATCATGCCACTCAAAGCTCAAGGAAAGCTGGCCATCATGGGGAGTTAGGAAGGATAAGAATTTCCTTTATGAATTATAGAGACAAAGATAGTCACTAGCCAAAATCCCCAGTTTTGTCTCCGAGTCCCTCAGAGTTTTTTGCTGTCCTTCTATTCCAGTGCTGTGTGCTGTGTATGTTTAGCAGCTGGATCTCAGGTTGCTGTACTATAAGGAAGTTATGATTTCATTTTTGTTCTTTTTTTTTTTTTTTTTTTTTTTTTGTTGTTTGGGTCTTGGGTTTTGAGACAGAGCCTCACCCAGGCTGACCTCTATTATGAATCTTTCTGCTTCTGGCTCCCAAATGTTGGGGCTTAGGCATGCACTACACTCCACAAGAAGCCCCAATTTGTACCAGTTGCTACTCTCCATGATACAACTTTTTTCCTTTCTTCATTGGAGCTATTTTGTAGCTGCCAATATGATATACCTTTGCTTGCAAACTTGATGGTATGCTCTCTCAAGCCTGCTTATACTCAAGTAGCAGAACACTGCCACTCAAATTTATGTTTAACACATTCAGATTCTAAGTGACCTAAACCAAAGGTCTACTATTATCCAGAATGGTGTTTAATAGACAATGTGCTCTCCATGAACAACAGAATTAATCTTATAAGGCAAGAAAACCCATTTCTAAAACAAAAGTTTTTTTGCTGTTTTAATTATTTTTCTATAAAACTGAAGCAGGGCATCTAGTAGTTTTGAATTCCACTGCACTAGATTGACATCATCCTGACTTCTCAGTAAAACATTCCTTAAGGATGCCAAACATTACACTGTATAGATTAAAAGTAGTTGATAGTTTAAAAGATACATCATCATTAAACAATGCTTGGTGATGTGATGTTATCATAAGGTGGCTTAGTTGGATAGTCAACAGCTATTAAGATGACTTTGTTTCTTATAATTGCATTCAAAATAGACTTTTACAAAAGCAAAGAACTATGCATCACAGCATATGTCTTAGTTAGGGCTTCTATTGCTGTGATGAAATACCATGACCAAAAAGCAACTTGTGAAGAAAAGGATTTATTTGGCTTATACTTCCATATCACTGTTCATCTTCAAAAAAAAGCCAGAACAGGAACACTAACATGGCAGGATCCTAGAGGCAGGAGCTGATACAAAGGCCGCAGAGGGTTGCTTACTGGCTTGCTCTCATGGCTTGTTCTGCCTGCTTCTTTTAGAACCCAGGACCAACAGCTCAGGGATGGCACCATACACAATGAGCTGAGTGCTCACCCATCAATTACTAATTAAGAAAATGCCCTATATCTTACGGAAATATTTTCTCAATTGAGCTTCCCCTCCTTTCAGATAACTCTTACCTTGTGTCAAATTGTCATAAGACAACGCCACAGAATTCTGTTATTTGTATTTGGGAGCTGTTTAGAACTTACTAAAGGTAGCTTTGTGGCCAAGCACTTGCCTAGGAAGTGTGATGCCTGAGTTTCATCCCAATAGTAACACACACACACACACACACACACACAATTACAATAGATTTGAATCAGGTATCATTGTGCATGCCTGTACTCTCAACTTGAAGGTTCAGAATCCAATACATGTAACCCCATCAAGTAAAGTTTGTACGGATATGTGTGTGTGTGGGGGGGGTCTGTTTATCTATATCATTGTCTGTCTGTGTCTGTATATATGTATTTGTGAATAAAGATTTAAATGTGCTTATTCTAGCTTACATATTTTCATATTGAAGGTCATCTTGAAATTAATGGAATATCCAGTAGTCACTAAAAATCAGGCAAAGCATCAAATATATTTTCCTTTTATTTTTAATTTTTAATTATGCATATGTATCCATGAGGAGAGATATGCACATGTGCAGGTGCCCTGTGAGTCAAAAAGAGGTTATCAGATTACCTAGAGCTGGAATTACAAGCAATTGTGAACCATGCATTACAGTTACTGGAAAATGAACTCAGGTCCTCTACAAGATCACAGAACCATTTCTCCTCAACCCCATTTATTTTTCACTCTTTTCTTCTTCTTTTCCTTTCTTTCTGTTTCCTTTTTTGTGACAAGGTATGATGGGGAATGTTCTTCTGTGTATGTTTCTCTTATTGGTTGATGAATAAACACTGTTTGGCAAATAGAGGCAGGAACATAGGCAGGGAGAGCAGACAAGGAGAATTCTGGGAAAGGTAGGCAGGAGAGCCCACCAGAGACAGATGACATGTAGCCACCAAAGGAGAAACAGGTCTGGGCATTCTCCGGTAAGCAAGGACCACATGGAAATGGGTCCTTGAGAAATGGGTTAATAATTAAGACAAAGCTAGCCAATAAGAAACCTAGTCATCTGCCAAAAGTTTAATAGTTTATATAAGCCTCTATGTGTTCATATGGGGCTAAAGCGGCAGCAAGACCTAGGCTGGACAAGAGAAACAGCCAGTAACAAAGGTATGTATGTATTCCTGGCTGTCGTGGAACTTGCTACGTAGACTAGGCTGGCCTCAAACTCACCTGAAATCTACCTGTGCCTGGCTACCCAGTGCAGGGATTTAAGGTGTGTGCTACCTTGACCCACTTCTACTTACACTTTCTTAAAACACTGTTTTGGAGGGAAAAGCACAGAGGCTTATAGACATCTGTTGTCTCCTATGTGGCCATCACAGCTTCCTTATATGGGGCTGGAGATGGCTCAGCAGTTAAGAGCACTGGATGCTCTTCCAGAAGACCTGGGTTCCATTCCCAGCACCCTCATGGCAGCTCACAACTACCTGTAATTCCAGTTCCGTGGCAAAACACCAATACATAAAAAAACCAAAAAATTCAAAAATAATAACTTCCTTATGGAGGGTGGGAGACAAAGCAAAGCAGTGTTTTGCTCAATAGCCCTGTAGAGGCCTCAAAAACTTGATTTTCCTGCCTCAACCTCCAACATGTGGTGGCCTGGAACTAACACAATTTTTTTTATGTTTTTAGTTGTTTATTATTATGATGATGCTGAATGATAAATGCTCATTTTTTTTATTAATTTATTTTTTATATTCTAATCCCAGTTCTCCTTCCCTTCACTCCTCCCAATTCCCCCACTCCTCACCCCCAACCTCCCATCTGCTCCATGGAGAGGGTAAGGCCTCCCCTAGGAAGTCTACTAAGTTTGTCCCATCATCTAGTTGAGGCAGGACCAAGTCACCTCTCCACCCCCACACCCCTGTGTCTAGGCTAGGCATGGTATCTCTCCATATAGAACGGGCTCCACTAAGTCAGTTTGTGCATTAGTGTTAGGTCTTGGACCCATTGCCAGTGGCCTCATATATTGAATTAGTATAAATTTAAATGAGATGTTTTGCATTTATTTTATTTATAATGAGAATTGTTTTACTTGCTCATTGATGCACACTTATGTAGTTCCCAGGCCTAAAACCAAAGTAGCTGTATGGATGGAAGTTTCTGTCTCACCTAGTTCTGCCCATTTACATAGTTGTGAGTAATTGATATTTTTAATTAAATTAATTTTTAAAATGGAAAAGGCACTTGGGTAGTATTAACAAACACTGTGCTCAGTATGGGAAGGGAGACAAGAATTTTTCTTACTTTCTCCTTTTAAAATTATTCTGCTCTTTTTTTCTCTCTGCTTCTCACATAAGAATTGTGATTCCCCGGGTCAGGATAGAGCTCAGAAGTAGATCCCAGGACTGAGACAGTGCGGTGAAGTGGGGAAAAGGGGAGGGAGGGACAGGAGGAGAAGGCACAGAGAGAAATACAAGGCAGATTGTGTCAAGTTATCTCTTCTCCCTCCCCATCCTCCTCTCTCTCAAACACAGTGTAACTCACAGTTTAACAGGATATATGTACTTAGGAAATGACATAGTACATAAACCCATTCAGGATCAGGAGGAAGGGAAGCTGAATGCAGAACTAAAATTTTTAAGGTTTGTTTTGTTTTTCACTCAGCCTTAATCATATCTCAATTAGAGCACCATGCAGTGACATGGTTTATATTCTGCCCTGGATTCTTTCATAATTATTTATTTCAAATTTGTGGCTGTTTCTACTAACTTTCTTCTGTGTTAATAATGTACACAAATTTTTGCTCATGTAATTTTGAATAAAAGCTAGACTCATAATTTAAAATGATTGTGATTCTCTATCAGCACACATCATATGTATTGGTATCAAACTCATTTGAAAATGGTTTATAGCTCCAGCAAAAAAGCTCAATGGATAGGGGCACTCACACCAGACCTGATGACCTACGTTCAATCACTGGACCATACAAAAATAATAATCTTTTTAAATCCACTTAAATTGGTTTATAAACTGCCTAGAAAACAAGATACAATGAGGCACAAAAGAGAGTAAAGGAAAATCAAAGCAAAGTAAGAATGGAAGAAATCCAAATGTCCACAGTTGACAATGAAATTATTCAATAGGCTCTGAGCTTCCTGGAAAGTGGGGTGACAAAATGCACATTCAAGGAACTGGGGATGCAACTCAGACCATGCCATGATGTGCTTAGCCTGTGCAAAGTCCCATATTCAGCCCCAGCACCAAAAACTAAATGAACAAACTACATTTTTAGTAGTTTAAAAATAAATTGATCTTAGCCTAGTGGTGCAGCCCAATTGACACAGTTCTTGGGTAGCACATGCACAAACAAGATGTGGTGGCATTTGGGAGGTAGAAGCAGAAATATAAAGCTCACTCCTATCCTGTGCTACAGCATGGGTTGCACGCCTGCCTGGACTACAAGAGACCCTGTCTCAAAAATAAGGAGGAGGAGGAGAAAGAGGAGGAGAAGGAGAAGTAGTAGAAAGAGAAGAAGTTGATTTTGTACCCTTTGGATGGATAGCAGCCTCTGCTATCCAAGTCAATGGCATTCTATGAATGAGTTAGACGTAGACTGGAGTTGCAATGTATAGACACCAAAACTTAGGTATAAAACAATTATCCAATGTCCCCCAGAGATCCACAGAGTTATACTTACTCTTGTTCTCAGACACTGAGATTTGCTCAGTTCTATCTATGTGTAGGACAAAAGTAGTCACTCGTCACAGTCACAGATGTGTTTCAACTAAACTTCACTTACAAGGACAGTAATAAGCTGGATATGAGCCTCAGGCAATAGCTTACTGACCTCCCCTGCCCCCATATGCACCAGTCTGCTAGAATTTATCTATGCATCATAAACCCCTTGTTCTACTGGCCTTGTCATAGTGCCTGAAAGCTGACAGCAAAGTGTCAAAGTGCTGATAATTAAATTTCTTCAAGTGGTGGCGGGCAGCTGCAATCAGGGCTCGCTGGCGGTCTTTCCCACGAAGATATTCACCTGGGAGTCTGTAATGGATGAGATCACCGGCTCCTATTGAAGAAAGAAGTTGTCTTGCATGTGAATTTAAAATATAGCCATAGTGTTCCAGAGAGAGAGGCAGAGAAGGACAAAGTCTGGAGACCTAGCAACCTCTAGGAATGTAAAAACAAAAACCAGTCATAGCTAATGGTGGCCCTTCCCACCACTGTTTTGGTTTTGTAGACAAGATCTCATGAACTCAAGCTGGCCTTATTGAATTCATGGCAATCCCCTCAGTTTCCTAAACGCTGGGATTACAGGTGTGCACACCACACTCACTCTCACACTATTATGCAGAATGCTTCTGTGTAGGCCATTTGCTCACATGGTGAAAAGCCCTGGGTCCAACTCCATACTGAAAAGAACAACTACCCTCCTCCAAAAAAATTTTAGACATGCTCTCTTACTCTATTGGCTATATCCTCAAACTTGAAGCAATCATCTAGCTTCAGCCTGTCAAATACTGGGATTACAGAATGAACCACCATGCCTGACTAAGGTTCATTACAGTTTAAATGTCTTTAAAGCTGGGTCCCAAGTACAACAGAGGAATTAAATAAAAAGCTGCCTTATCTCACTGTTTGCTTAATAAGTTTACATTTATTTTCTAAGTAAAAGCCCACTTACAATACTAATGAGAAGGCCTTGAAATTGTATTAATTCAAACAACATGAAAAAATTCATTCTTATATACCATTAATATTATAAAGCTTTAACACTTCAACATCAGACCCTTTGAGACATAGCTTAGTGATGAGTGTTGTATGCACTAGGTCCTAGCTTCAACCTCAGCACTACAGAAAAAAAACAAAAACAAAAACACATGAGCATCTATGTCCATGGTGAAGGTAACAGTATAGCGTTCTGGGATGTTTCTCAACAGTTTATTTAGTATTCGTCCAGGGGCAGGACACTGGGCAAAAAACAAGACCCCAGCACTTGCAGCCCTCTAGCAGGACTTGGAAAAAGGGATTATTTCAACACTTCAATACAGGCTAAAAGCATATGGGTTAAGAGAAAAAGAGACTCTCAGAAAGAAAGTCACACCCAGGGCTGGGTGTGGGCTTTTCTAAGAAAGCCACTCATTTTATAGGAATATGTTTACTTGTCAAGAAGAAAATTCACATATTTACCATATTCCTCAGGCTGGAGGCAAGCTCCAAATGTGTGGCCTGGGGCAACGTTCATGGTTTCTGCAATGCTATAGGAAAAAAGACTCCTTGGTTAAAGTTCCCACCACCAAAAGTTGAAAGTTACACATGTTTGCTTTAGGCCCTTAACAACCCACAGATTCTCTCCTATAGACACACTGAAAAAGCAAAGGCAAGGCACAAGAATCTGGTATCCACCTGCATTAACAATGGCTGAAGGTTTTCCCTGCAGACCACTCCAGAGAGTGAGAAAGAGAAGGAGGGAAGGAGGGAGGGAGAGAGAGAAGACGGAGAGAGAGGGAAAGGGAGAGAGAGATTCAAAAATAGCAAAATAGTTTCTTTCTGATGTCCCAGAAATAAAGCTTTACACAGATTCCTCCCTCCCCCTTTTGCAAATGTGTACAACTCCACTAATCTCCTGGGAGGCCAAACACTGTAGGCAGTGACAGTGCTCCATTAATAAGCAATAGAGGAATAATTTTCTTATTCAATACAATTTAGTAAAATTCAAACCAATATTTGGTTTTTCAATGTAGCCCATGTAGGCATTCAATTCAAAAATATAGCTAAGGGTAGCCTTGAGCTCCTGGTCTCCTACTCTCCTTTCCTGTACTAAGGTTACAGGAATGTGCCACCAAGACTACCAGATGCCATTCAATGCAGAAGCTACAGAGCTGACAGGGCCTTAAGCTCAAACTTACGGGTCTAAAACTCTTCCAAGTTTGTGTTGAAACTTTTCTTTGAAGTCATCAGCTCTTTTGGATATAATTTTAGCTCCTCTTTCCCTACAAAATGAGAAGACTGTCACTTATCTTTACTATTAAATTGTCATTGGCTGCAAAATATTCACATAGTAAAAAGTATCATAATATCACTGTGCTTTCAATGAACAAGTCTCAAAAGATATTCCACGTTTCCCCCCACATGTACATACTCTATAATAAAAGTACACTTGGTAGATGGTAAACAGCATGGTCTGCAAATAAAGTGGGAGTATGACCTATTCAAGGTAAGGATTGAGGACAAAGTTTTTTATAGTAAGTAAGAGGGAGAGTATGGACAGAGGCATCTGGAAGAGTCCAGAACAGGGAGAGAATATAGTGGACCAAACATGACCCATAGTTTGAAAAAGTCTATGAGAGGAGACAGAGAGAGGGAGAGCAAGATAGGAAGAGAAAGAGTTCAGGTAAAGGAAACCAAGACAGAGGACCAAGAGGGAGGGGGCCATGAAAGCACATGGCCAAAATGGCAGGGCTACATAGAAACCAAAAGCTAGGGCAACAGAAACCCACAGACTGGAGAAGTTTAGAGTAGGGAGTGGATGAGAAGAGCCTCAGTTACTAAGTCAACCTGGTACAACAGTTAGCCATTTGTCCCTTTTTCTTTTGGACCTGACAGTCTGGAGATATAGCTAAGTGGAAGAACACTTGCCTTGCATTCAGTTCAATACTTAACACAAGAAAGGGGTGGGGTGAGGAGCAAGCAAAAGGAAACACTTTGGCAATTATGAGTAAAAAATATAAAAATGTTCTCAGTCAGGACAGAAAGATAGAATATAGACATTTGATATGAGGAAATGTATTCCCCGTTTCTACATAGCATCAAAGCTCCTTTTATGTGGAGATATCTCAAATAAGAATGTCAAAATAATGAACCACACCATATACAACCTTAGTCTTATGTCACTTAGAATGTTAAAATAATAATGAACATTTGTTTGTTTTTGTTTTTGTTTTATGAGACAGGGTTTCTCTGTGTCCTCGCTGTCCTGGAACTCACTTTGTAGACCAGGCTGGCCTTGAACTCACAGAGATCTACCTGCTTCTGCCTCTGCCTCCCAACTGCTTGGATTAAAGGTATGAGACACCACCACCTGGCACTAATGAACCACTCTTAAGATCTAAATATACACATCCTTATTCCTAGCCTAGTTGTAAAGTACTTATTTCAAAGAATGTTACTAAGAAAACTATAATAGCTTACATAAAAACTATGTCTTGGGGACAAGCTCACCATAGGATACCCACACATACCATATCCACACTAAATAAATGTTTAAAGAAAAACACATTTGCTTCCTTGTACAACCTTAGAACCCATGCTTTTACTTTGTGTGCTGTTGTCCTCCTCAATGCCCCCTCGGGTCCCCGATCTCATTTACTGGAGCAACAGGAAGAGAGAAAAAGTTACTTAGCAACCCTTTTTGATAGTACTTCAGAAGTCACAAGTCACATATACAAATACTGTAAAGAGATTTAAGCAAGATGCTTTCTTGAGTCCATGCCCACACTTGGGTGTGTACTGCCTGCCTTTCCTATGAGCTTCTCTTTACTTATGTTAAATACAGAGGAGCTCAGAGCATCAAAGCAGGATGATCTAGGTTCAGATTCCAAACAACCACATAGAAAACCTGAGTCTGGCTATAAGTGCCTTCAATGAACATTGGACAGGGGTTTGGGGGGGGGGGCAGATCCCATTGGACAGCCAGTCTGCCAAAATAGGTAAGTGAAAGACACCATCTTGGAGGAGTAAAATGGAGAGTGGCAGGGGAAGATAGCTATCAATGTCCTCCTCTGACCTGCAATGCATTTGGACAGTTTTGCACATACACTACACATGTGCATGCACACACACAACTCACATACATACACACACAAAACACATACAAATACAATTTTAAAATGTTTTAATCTCTTAAAATCAGCTCAAACTCTGCTTCTCATGCCTAATCACCCTGAAATTCTTTTCTGTAGGATATCAAGAATGTCAGCTTCACTCAGAAAAGAACTCCTCAGGTTGATAATGTGTGTCTGTGTGGAGCTGCATCCCTCCCATTCCCACCATGTTCATGCCCTTTTATCTCCATCTAAGAATCAGTAACAAGAAGGAACCCCACACAGTCTTTAAAAACATGGGAAGCAGGGCTGGAGAGATGGCTCTGGGTTAAGACCATTTGTTTCTCTTTTAGAGGCCCCAGCTTCAGTTCCCAGAATTCATACAAGGGCTCACAACTGTCTGTAACTCCAGTTCCCAGGGATCTAAAGTCTGTTTTCTGCCCTCTGTGGGCACAACACACACATGGTACACAGGCATATGCACATACAAAACATATAAAATGATGCTAATGAAAACCATTTTTAATGCAAAAAGCTAGAGCAATGGTCACTTAGTCAGGAGGCTATGGCAGGGGGACCTGTCAACTCAAGAGACAGGAGCAGAGCCCATCTAAGAAAAAGAAAGCAGAAAAGTGTTTGCATTTCTAACACACACACACACACACACACACACACTTATTGAGGGCTGGGAAATAGCACAGCAGTTAAAGAACTTCCTGCACAAACTACAAGCTGGAAGTCTGGTACTCCGAATGTACATCTTGGCATGCTATCATACTGATTTCTGAAGGGAGAGACAGGATCTAGAATCCCCAAGGCAAGCTAGTTAAGAAAACTAACCATCAGTGAGCAGAGGGCTTGACTGAGCTACCCAGCCTCAAAAAATAAGGACAAAGAGTAATCAAAGAACAATACCAAAATTACTCTGAGACCTCTACATATGCACACACTTACTTGTGCACTCATCACATATACACATGACACATATACACAAGAAAGAAAAGAAGAAAAAACTGACCTGCCTATCTTGGTGTGTGTGTGTGTGTGTGTGTGTGTGTGTGTGTGTGTGTGTACATAACTCAGTAGTTCATGAAAGATTATGTTTGTCAACTTGACTGAATCTAAAATCTACTACAACACAAACTGCTGACATTCCAGTGAGACATTTGAAGCAGGAAGATTTACCCTAAATCTGGGCCACACCTTCTGGTGGCAGCCCGTGTAAAAGGACATGGAAGAAGGAAACTGCTTTTGGCTGTTTGTCCTCACTCTTGCTAGCAAGATCATCTGCTCTGTTGCTGCTGTATTCCTTCAGTGATGTTAGAACCAATATCTTTGGGATTTCAATGCTGAAGATCAGCATCTGTCTAGAAACTCTCCAGGACTCTGGCACCCGATTGGGACTGCAGAACAACTGTCTGATTCTCAGTTTTCCAGGTACAAACTACATCCTGTAAGCCAATCTAATAAACCCCCTGTAAATTCCTATCAAGAACTCCAACTAATATAAGGAGTATGGTGGATAGTTTCATATAAACTTGACAAAGGCTATAGTCATCTGGGGAGGGGAGCCTCAATCAAGAAAATATTTCCATAAGATCAGGCTGTAGACAAGACTATAGATCATTTTCTTAATTGGTGATTGATTGGGGAGGGCACAGCCCATTGTGGGTGGCAACATCCCTAAGATAGTGGCCCTGGGTTCTATAAGAAAGCAGGCTGAGCAAGCCATGGGGAGTAAGTCAGTAAGCAGCATCCTTCCATGGCCTCTGCATCAGCTCTTGTCTCCAGGTTTCTGTCTAGTTTGAGTTTCTGCCTTGGTTTCCCTCAATGACTCTGTATATATAAGCCAAATAAACCCTTTTCTCTCCAAGTTGCTTTTGGTCATTGGTACCAGAAGTGGGGTATTACTGTAACACACCTGACCATGTAGTTTTTTTTGGGGGGGGGTTATTATGAAAGTACTTTGGAACCTTGACTTAGGCTATTGAGTATTCAAACCTTAGTGATCTGTTTTGTGGAAGCTTGGAAGACAAAAATGTTAAGAACAATGCAGATGATAAAGGCCTGGCTTGTGATTCTGGTTAGCTGAGGCTGATGAATAAGCTGTGATTAAAAAAATACCAGAACCACTGAAGAAAAATCCTTTTTTTTTTTTTTTTTTTTTTTTTCCTTTACTGGGACAATTGATGCTGGTTTGCTGGAGCTGAGAACTTGGTAGTGATTAAGAAGAGACCATCATCACTGAAGTGAAATTTTATGGGAAGTGTTTCCTCAGAGTCAGCACGCAGAAGCTTTGTTCCAGAGGCAGCCACAGTTGTACCTTATGCTGGCAGCCAAACTTGGTTTTGTGTAAGAGTCTCCCAGGTAGTACTGGTTTTGAAGGCATGAAGGGGTCATGGAGAGCAGCTGAGGCTTGGTACTGTGAGAGGCCAGGAAAGGCTATTGAGGAAGAAACAGATAAGAGTAGCAGTGGAAGCCCCAGGACTGAAGGGATTATGGAGAAGGTTGAAGCTTTGCACCAAGAAGAAAGCCTAGTAGAAGCTACTGGTGAATGTGAAACCCAGTTGCAACAGAAGAGCCCAGCATTGAGATACCAATACTGTAGGATGACCAACAAGAACAGTAGCAGCCATGGAGTGCCACCAGCTGGAGCCTAGAAGTGTATACTGCAGAGAGCAGGGATAAAGAAGTAACACAAGCCCTTTGGAGGAGCCAAAGAGATTGTGGGTGAATCCCAGTATACTGGACACTGGGTGATTTATACTATTGGAGTTTGATTTACTTTGTTTGATCTGATTGTGACTGTGCGTTGGTTCTTCCCTCTTGAAATAAGAAGGTATATGACTTTTTTGTGTGTGTGTAGGGGGAGGGGGTTCAAGACAGGGTTTTTCTGTGTGCCTATCCCTGGCTATCATGGAACTCACTCTCTAGACCAGGCTGGTCTCAAACTCACAGAGGTCCTCCTGTCTCTGCCTCCTGAGTGCTGGGATTGAAGGTGTGTGCTGCCACCAATGCCACCACCACCCACTGATTGATTTTTTTAATTAAATTTATTTATTTGTTTATTTATTTGTTTGTTTTGCAGCTGACCAGTTTCCCCTCTCTCCTCTCCTCCCATTCCCTCTCCCTATCTCCCCTCCACCCCCCCATCCATTTCCCCATCCACTGTTTTTTGTTCAGAAATGGGCAAGCTTCCCATGGGTAGCGAGAAAGAATTGCATATCATGTTGTCCCAGCCTGTGAGATACACCTGTACTCACATGTGTATACACACACACACACACACACACACACACACACACACAAAAACACAAACACACATACACATAACACACACACACTTAAAAATAAAATCTAGGGCTGGAGAAATGGCTTAGTGGTTAAGAACACTGGTTGCTCTTCTAAAGGCCCTGGTTTAATTTCTGGCATCCACATGGCAGCTCACAAGTATTTGTAACTCTACTTCCAGGGGATTCCACACCCTCACATAGACATACTTGCAGACAAAACACCAATGTACATAAAATAAAAATGAACAAATAATTGAAAAATAAAATCTAAAGCAACAACAAAATGTAAGTAAAAGCTAGGGCACACCTGAAATTCTAACCCTAGGAGGCTGGGGCAAGAAGACTGCTACAAATCCTAGGCTACTATGGGCTTCAGAATGAATTCCTGTCTCCAAAACAATCAAAAACAAGTCCTGAAGTAATTTCAGAACAGCACAAACAAGCAAACAGTATCATAGCTATCTCTGGAGGGAACAGACAGAGTGGTGGCAGAAGTAAAGAAATTATAAGATCTATTTTTCTATGAATGCTATATTGGAACATGTTGATGTATTTAATATCTCTTAAAAACAAATTTTAAATAGGTAGTTATTCAAGTACAAATGCTAAATCTCTAAGATTTATTGCTGGAGGTATAATCACACTTACATTTGTAGTTCATGCAGCCAATGTAAACTTTTGGCCATGGTGCGTCCATCATTAAAATGAGGTGTCGGGACTCCATACAAGTTAAACCTATGGAAACTTTCTTTGTTATACTTTCGGTTCTTTGCTTCTCCTGTGGGTAGTAAGAGCAGTGAAGACGACTTCTGAGTTAAACAAAACAAAGCAAAAAAACTTATCTTCAAAAAGGCACACTTATTCTCATGAGAATTGGACAAGTGGGACAAAGACTAACTGGACCCATACAGGGAGCTGTACAGACTCAGCTACAAATGGCAAAACCACTCTCTTACACATGCTGCAACACCATGGAATGTTACACACGGAGTTCCTTGTGTTCATGTTTATCAGGTATTGTGGCTTATGGCTATAATTTCAGTACATAGGAAGCTGAGACAGGAGGACAGTGAGTTCCAAACCTGCCTGGGCCACAGAGTGAAATCATGTCTCAAAAAGCCAAAAAATAAAGTGGTAAGCTCTAAATAAACAACATAAATAAATAACCAGATACACCACCTAAACCCAGTAAGACTAATAAATGAATTCATAAAAGTTGCAGGACACAAAATCAATATATATATTAACCATAGGGGTCCCTGTATTTACCAGGACTGGCAGACTGATGATCTGTGATCTGGTTCAATACAACTCAGTAGCCAGTGTTAATTTAAACTTCTACAGTCTGACACCCGACAGTTTATTGGAGGCATATTTAAGTATAGTACAATGTTGAAAAAAGTTTTTCAGTATAACACAATCCTGTGTACACAAGGAGGCATAATTACATCAAAATTCTTTTCACAGTACATGTCACTTCTTCTGTGAAGGTAAGATCCAAAGACAGACTACATGTATTATCTTAAGGGCTTAGGAAGAATATGGTGTGGTGTCAGACATACAAATACTGCAGAGGTCATCTGGGCTACTAGCACTTAAGTATGGTCACTTAAGTATGGCCCTACAGATATTACAGATTGCCCAGATATTAACCACCTCTATCTCCAGTCTTTTGGATGGACAAACAGAATATACATATCTGTTGTTGAAGAGACTATCCTGTGAGATTAACATTCCTAGTGCAAGGACTTTTGTGCTCTCCAAAAATAACTACCTAGAACAAAAGGAAACTGAGAAAGCAAATTCTATTATAATAGCATCCACTAAAAATAATACATAGGAAAAAACTTGTTTTTTTTTTTTTTTTTTTTTTTTTAAATTGGCTGGTTGGTTGGCCAGCTGAAGTTGAAGCTCAAATGTTTAGCCCTGAACATACTAGGAAAGCTCTGTACCACTAAGCTACAACCCAAGCCATTGTTTGTCTGAGATATGGTCTCACTATGTTGTCCAGGATGGCCTCAAATTCATAGGCTAAAGAGATCATCCTAGCCCATCCTCATCATAGCTGAGGCAATAGGCCCCACACTACCACTCTTGGCACTTAGGTAAAAGACTTGAACACTGAAAACTACAGAACCCTGTGGAGAGAAACTGGGCACAAATGAAAAGATATTCTTTGTTCATGTATAAGCAAAATTGATAATATTAAAATACCCATACTGGAATAGGTGAAATAGCTCAGTGGATAAAGGTGCCTGCTACAAAACTTAATTTTGATTCAGGGACATGTATAGGGGAACGAGAGATGCAACTTGGAAAAGTTGTCCTCTTCTTACATGCTTATGGGCACATGTAGACACATACACAACACACAACACACACACAAACACACACATTTCAAATGCCCATAATCCCCAAATCAATATAGAGATTCTAACTCCTATCAGTCTTAATAGCCTAGTACTTAGATGGAGGCAGAAGAGTCAGGACATTTTAAAATATTTTTATTTATGTGCATATCTATGTATCTTTGTGTCTGCCACATGTGTGTAGATACCTAACTGGACTCTGGAAAAGTGCACTGTTTCCTGGAGCAGGAGTTATTGGCAGCTTTGATCCACCTGATGCAGCTGCTGAGAACCAAACTCAGGTTCTCTGGAAGAGCAGCAAACATTATTAATGGTTGAACCATCTCTCCAGCCCAAGGATCAGGACTTTGAAATGTGTATGGTGATAATTTGTTTGTGTTTTAACAAATAAAACTTGCCTTAGGTCTGGAGGTCAGGAAACTATATGGCTGAGCAGAGAGAGGAATATGAGGTGGAAGGAGACCAGAGCTCACTCTCCTTTTGGTTGGAAAGTTGAGGAGTTAAGGTGTGGCTAAGGTTTGTCTCTCTGATCTCTCAGCATTTACCCCATATCTGACTCTGATCTTTTATTGTTAAGGCCTATTAGAACTCGAGATATGTATGTATATGTATATATAATGTGTGTGTGTTGTGTTTGTACATATATATATATATATATATATATATATATATATATATATAGTATAGAGTGTGGATATATATATATATATATTGTATGGAGGGTGGTATGTGCGGGTGTCCATGGAGGCCAGTAGCATCAAGCACTAGCCTGGAGTTACAGATAGCTATAAGCCATGATGCAATGCTAGAACCTGGGTCCCTTGAATAAACAATACAGACTCTGATGAGCCACCTTTCCAGTCCCAGGATCAGGATTTTAAGGTCATCTGTGGGTGTATGTAAGATCCCCATCTCTATAAATATATAAATATAATTATATGACAAAGGCTGAAGAATAATGCAATAATACAACTTGTGCTATGAATGGGCAAAGCCTGCTAGTCAATTCCCAGCAACAAAGTATAATAAAAACAAAACAAAATTATGTTACAAAACTGTAGTAATAAAACTATGACACAAAAGCAGAGTATTATGGAACCACTACAATCACACCATCAGAAGGCAATGGCAAAAGGATTATTATGAGTTTAAGTTTAGCCTACATAGCAAGATCTTTTCTCAATGAAACAAGAAATGTACTACTGGCATAAAGAAGATGTATAAGAAGAGTGCAGGTTCATGCCTATAAATCAAGAGGCCAAAGGAGAGTTTTGGATATGAAAACAGCCTGAGCCACATAGTAAGACCTTGTCTAAAAAATAACGGTCAAATAGATTTAGCAACCCCCCCCACAAAAATATTCCATTCAAGAGACAGAAAATATAGATTCTTCTCTGGTATATGGAACTATTTCTTTAGTTATCTGTAACCACACAGATAATATTTTTAAAAATCATGGCTGGGTGCCATGATGCAGCCCAATACTTAGAAGGCAGAGGCCAAGTCTACATAGCTAAATAAGAGGCCAGCCAGGGCTACACAGTAAAAAATGTTATCAAAAGAAAAAACAAATTCAGAGAAATAACCAAAAATCCAGCTCAATGTTCTAGAGGGGGAAAAAGCAAGTAACCCCAAAGTGGAAAGCATCAACCAAAAAATAATGAAATTAGGACCAAGATTAATGAGACACTGATGGAAAATATATATATAGAATTAATCAAACCAAGTGTTGATTCCTTGCAAAAAGCAACAAGATTGGCAGGTCCCTAGCCCAAGAAACCAAAAGAAAAAGAGCATGAAAATTAGTAAAATGATAAAATGAAAGAGTAACTTGGTGGTAGAATACTTGCCTAACATGTTTGAGGCATTAGGTCCAACCCTCAGTACTGAAAGCAAAAGTAATAAGTTAATTTCATTATGGTGAAAAGAAATAAGAGTTGTTATAAGTGACCAATGAAAACCAGAAGGTTGTTAGGATATATTTTAGAAACTTATATACCAAAAGGCTGGAAAATTTAGAAGAAATAGGAAATAGCATTATGTGCAGATGATCTGAAATAAATAAAAGACCCTAAAAACTCCATCAGGAACCACAGCTGACAAATACTTTCAGCAAGTATTAGAATACAAACTTAACACAAAAAATTCAGTAGCCACCTATATACAAATGATAGACTGATCTCCATCTCTCTCTTTCATACACACACACACACACACACACACACACACACACACACGTGCACTCGCATGCGCGTGTGCATGTGTACAGACACGAGTAATAACAATATAGAGAAATAGCTATCTTATCAAAGCAATCTACAAATTCAATGCTATGCCCATCAAAGTTCCAACACAATTCTTCACAGAGCTGGAAGGGACAATTTTCAAACTCATATGGAAACACACACACACACACACACACACACTAAAACAACCTTAAGTAATGAAAGAACTGTTAGGAGTATTACCACCCCCAATTTCAGGTTGTACTACAGAGCTAAAGTAATGAAAATCATCATGGCATGCCACTGGCATAAAAACAGACACGTTGGTCAATGGAATTGTAGTAAAGACCCAGATGTAAGTCCATATATCTATCACCTTGAATAAAACTCAACTCCAAATGGATTGAGGGCAGATACCGTGATCTGACAGAAGAGAAAGTTAAGAAACAGTCTTGAAGTCCTTGGCACAGGAAAAGACTTTCTGAACAGGAAAAGACTGAACAGAACACTGATAGTACAGGTACTAAAAACAACAATTTATGAATGGGACCTCAAGAAAACCAGAAATCTTCTGTATGGCAAGGATATCATCATTCAGACAAAGTGGCAGGCTACACAATAGGAAAAGATTATCTTTACCAATTACAACAACAGATTTAGGTCAATACTTAAAATACAGTAAAACAAGGAAACAAATAACCCAATTAAAAATTGAATTACAGAAGTAAGCACAGAGTTCATGCCTTAGTCATCAGGGAAATGCAAAGCAAAACTACTTTGAGATTCCATCTTACACCAGTCAGAATGGCGAAGATCAATTAAAAAAAAAAAAAGATAGTTCATGCTGGGTAGTCATTGTACAGTAAGGAGTAAAGATATGGGGAAAGGGAAACGCCCATTGCTGATGGGAGGGCAAACTTTTACAGCCACTATGGAAATCAGTGTGGTAGTTCCTTGGGAAGCTGGAATAGCTGAAGATCCAGCTGTACAACTCTTGAGCATATATGTATTCTATATTCATTGCTATTCTATCCATAATAGCCAGAAAATGCAAACTGCCTATATGTACATCAATGGATGAATGGATAAAGAAATATATTTACACACTTAAAGGCAAGCCCAGCAAAAAATGGCCAAAATAAAATAAACTCAATGGTATTTTTTGAAGACTTTTTGCCTCATATTGATCTGTTTAGGTATTTTTTTTTATCTTATAGTCTTTTGCTTGTATATTAGTGTTTATGACTTTTTGTTTTTATGGGTGTGTGTGTTTTCTTTTGCTTTTTCTTTTTATTCTGTTTTTTTGGGGGGTGGGCCTTTTTATTTGTCTGTTTTCTAAAGATATAGAGAAAGAAGACAGAGTTTAATGGGTGGGGAGGTGTGGACTTTCTAATGAAGGGAATGAAGGAGAAGGGGAAATCATGATCAGAACATGTTGTAGGAAAATTTTATTTATAATAAAAATCGTGGAAATTGGTTGTAGATACTAATATGAAAAATATTACAAAATACTTCATGAGACAAGACAAAACAAATCAAGCAGGAGTATATAAAAAGTATATATACATACATACATACATATATATAAAATACTAAGGTACACACATAAGCCAGCCGTATAGCTGTAATCTCAGTATTTGGGAGGCTAATGTAAGAGGGTTACTAGTTCAAGGACTACAGTGAATTTGAGATCAGCCTGAACCACATAGGAACTACTGTCTCAAAACAAAAAAAGAAAAAAAGGGAGAAAATATTGAAAACAGAAATCTTTTGAATACTATATATTTTGATATAGTTTGTATTTATCCATCATTTCAGTAGTTATTTAAAGTAAGTGTATTTAAAAGATGTTGAAGGCCTTATTATCTCTGAACCTTGTCCCTCATGCACTATTTTGAGTTTCATTTGTTTATTTGTTTATTCATTAAAACAGTAAAAACATCTTACTATGTAGATCCCAAAAATCACTATGTAAACCAAGCTGGCCTTGAACTCACAGAAATCCTCCTGCTTCTGCGGCCCAAGTGTGGGGATTAAAGGTGTGTGCCTAATTCGTTTCATTATTCTATCAAGATTAGCCTTCATGCATTTTATAATTCAGTTGTAAATTTACAGCACTATAAAATTTATAATGTTGGTCTTCAAAATCTTTCCAGTACTGTGATGCCATTAGACAAGAACACTTGATAGCTTGATGGTTGCTGTTCTAGGCACCAGCCTAATCATTTTTGCATGTACTCTGCTCTCACAGGGTTACCATGCCACCATACCATACCATGAAGGGTTGATGGTCAGGTATGTAACTCTCAGGTTCTAAGATAGTAAATGAGTGAACTACCCAAACCATAAACCTACACACTTGGCCAAGACTGGTGTTGCGTGCCGGAAGTCCCAGCTAGATGGGAGGATAAGAAGGAAGGATTAGTTAAGCCTAGGAGTTTGAGAGCATCCTGAGCTACACAGATTCTTCCTTCAATATGGTAAGGGGGTGGGGCTAAAAATCATTAAATAAAATAAGAGCATGTAACATTCATCTGATGTGTCATTTTATTATTATGTATGTATGTACATGATGAGGTGGGGAGTGTAGCAGAGTGTACATGTAGAGGTCAGAGGACAACTTTCCATACTCTGCTCTTTCAATAGCTTTATGTGGGTTCTCGAATTAAACTCTAGTCACCAGGCTTGCATGGGAAACTCCCTTTCCCAATGAACCATCACTACACCTGATTTTTCATTTTGATAGTACAAGTGTGTTTGCATTTCTTCTACTTTTGTCTTTGCTGTCTTGAGACAAGTTTTCACTACAGCCAAGAGTGATCTAGAATTCACTCTGTAGGTGACTATTTCTTTTCTTTATGTTTTCTTTTCTTTCTACTTCTTATTTACTTATTTTCAAGACAGGGTCTCATTATATAGCCCAGGGTGGCTTGGAACTCATAGATTTGCTTGCCTCTGCCTCCAGAGTGCTCGAATTTACCACCACGCCTGGCTCTTTACCGCTTGCTTGCTTCTTTTTTAATATACAGCTTCACTATGTACACCATGCCAACCTCACACTTGCAATCCTCTTTCAGCCTTTTGAGTGCTGGAAGTATAATCATATAACATCATGCCAACTAGTTCTATAATTTATGAATTTGATGCATTAGTCTATATTTCCAGATACCAAGATTTATGATGCTATGAATAATAAATTGCCACCTATTGATCAACTTCATCATCCCATGGGTATCTAACTTCATAAACGTTATGCTCTGTCCTTTTCTTGAAAAATCTGAGGGTCTCATATCCTCAGCCTCACTTCACACTGAGTCTTACCTGCAAAATAATCATGGTGAGAAACAATGTACAAATCGTGTCCTTCCTGTCCTTCTTTAAACACATCTTCGAAAGATTTTGGTGGATTCACAATGTTACTAGCAGACAGTTCTGAAGGAAGAATCAACAAGATGATTATTAAGGGTTCCTACCTATTGTGTATACAAACTACAGCAAATGATAAATGTGGTCTGATGGTTTTATAAGCTACACAGAATGCCTTGGAGATCACATAGCCAATATAAGAGAATACTTATCAGAAAAAAAAAAAAAAAAAAAAGATGAGGTGGACAGAGTGACACATGCCTAGACTCTCAGCACTTGAAGGTGGAGGAAGGAAGACCAGGACTTCAGGTGAATTTGGCTGGACTACATAGTGAATTTGAGGCCAGCCTAGGCTACATAAGACTCTGTCCTAAAAGAGAGAGATGGAGAGGTAGAGAGAGGGAGGGGTAGGAGAAACAGTAAGAGGGAAGGAGGGAGAGAGAAAGGAAGAGGGGAGAAGCAGAGGGGAGGAAGGGAGAGAAGAGAGGAAGGAGGGAGGAGGGAGGGGGAAAAAAAAGGGAGGAGACAGAGAGGAGGGAGGAGGGAGGGAGTTAATGTATCATCTGCTGTAGAGCCCTGAGGTCTCTGAGGATGAGAACTCTGCCAGAGCCACTCAGTCATACCCTGACTCCAGTTCAATCTCAGTCCTAAGATTCCAGACAATCTTGGTTTATACTGCAAACAAATCTGAATTACAAATGAGCAACACTGTAGTCCAGCCTCAAGCTCATATTGACTCTTCTGCCTCTGTTTCCCAAACACTAAGATTACAGATGAAAACCCCACTGTGGGACTTGATTTATTATTGATGATATCTACCTAGTGGAAGAAACATAGTACCTCTTTGTACATTAAAAATAAACATCTAAAAATCTTCAAGTAATGTTTTATAGGAAATTTTCCTCTGCTAGGGAAAGAACCTTGGCAAGAGTTCTGCCTCCGAGTTCCATTCCCAGGGATCATCCTATTTTTTATTCTAAGACATGATCTCACTGTATAGTTCAGGCTGGCCTGGAGCTTCAGATTTTCTGACTCTTCCCTGTGCCCTGTGAATGCTGGCTGGTGTGTGCTATTACCGTGGATTTTATCATATTACTTTATACATGATCTCTCTCTTTCTCTCTCTCTCTGTGTGTGTGTGTGTGTGTGTGTGTGTGTGTGTGCGCGCGCGCGCGCGCGCGTCTATGTGTATTCATCACATTGCTGGAGATTGGGCCTGGGGTCTCTGAGGTCTCATATAAGGCAAGTAATCTATCATTGAGCTCTATCCCCAGCTTCTGACAAAAATAAATAAATAAATAAATAATTCAAGAAAGATCACTTAGTTGAACTTAGTGATGACTAACTATATCCTTCAAGTGTTCTGACAGAAATGTTGCCAGTACACAATGCGCTTATATTTCAGGATTGAAATGACTAGAGTGAGAACACTAGGGCTACCAGATATGGTAGTTCACACCTTTAATCCCAGCAGATGTATTTCTAAGAGTTTGGAATCAGTTTGGTCTATATAATAAGCGCTAGGCCAGGCAAAGCTATATAGCGAGAGATACCATCTCAGAAAAATAAAATATACAAAGCAAAACAAACATACAGAAAAACCCTGGAAGGTTTCTCAAAAATGGTTCCAATGGAAGTAATGGCCTGCTTTACTTTCAGAGAATCAATGAAGCAAACAGAAACAGTATTTCTGTTGATGTGTGGATCATTATACCCATTGATACACATTTTGAAGCATTGTTTGGGGTTTTGTTTGGCTTTCTTTGAAAAAGGGTCTCATGTACAGCCCAGGCTAGCCTCTACCTTGCTATGTAGGTGAAAATGACCTTGAATTCTTGGTCCTCCTGCATCAACCTCCTAAGTGCTAGGCTTTTAAGTGTCTACTGCCTGGTGCATTCTGCCAGGTGACAGCGGCAGGCCAGTGTAATGCCTGAATCCTTACATCTACCATCATACCCACATGAGTATAGAGAGTACTTTCCCTATTAAAAATAGTGCTAGTCCTAAATAGTGGTTATTGTGTAATTACTATAGTATTGTCTCTATCATCATCGTGTGTGTGTGTGTGTGTGTGTGTGTGTGTGTGTGTGTGTGTGCGCGCGCGCGCGCGCGTGCTTGAATGTGCATAATAAAAATGTCACTTTACATGGGTTCCCATGCTCTGTCTATCCCAGGTCTCCATTCCCACATGAGTGCTTTGCTTTCATCTGACTGGCCCATAAGATTCTTAAAAGTTAACATAAATTGGATTTTTATTTCTATTGCTATTTTGATATGGGATACCTAACTTGTGATCCTCCTACCTACACTTCCTGAGTGCTGTAATTACAAGTATGTACATCTCACATGGTTTCTGTGGCACTAGAGGCCAACCAGGGTTTCTGCATGTTAAGCAAGTACTCTACCAACTTAGCTGTATCCCAAGCCTATAAGTAGGATTTTTCATTCCTACTTTTCCTAGTTGCTTTCTATTCCTGTGATAAAGACCATAACCATAAGCAACTTGAGGAGGAAAGGGCATATTTATTTTATACATCTCAGGTCACTGTCCATCACTGAAAGATATCAAGGCAGAATTCAAGCAGTGTGGGAAACTGAAAACAGGAAATTAAGCAAAAATCAAAGAATGCTGATTTTTGGCTATTCTTCATAACTCATTTAGCTTGTTTTTTAATTAATATTATTTTTTAATTATGTATATTTGCACGTTTGTGTGGGGGTAGGTATATATGAGTGCAGGTGATCTACAAGTACAAAGGCATCCAGAAGGCTGGAGTACAGATGTGAGCCACTCAGTGTGGGTCTTGAGAACCCAACTCAGGTCCTCTGGAAGATCAGTATATACTTCTCAGCTCTGAGCCATCTCTCCAACCCCTCAGTTTGATTTTTTTTTTTTAAACAATCCAGAACCGCCTGCCTAGAGGTTGTACCACCCATAATGGGCTTGACTCTTCCACATCAATTATGAATCAAGAGAATACTCCACAAATTTGCTTGCAAGCCAATATGATGGAGGTATTTTCTCAACTGAGGTTCCCTTTCTCAGTGATTCTAATTGTGTCAAGATAACAAAATTAACCAGCATACCACCAAAGAGATACTTTATCCTTTATAAAGTACATTTTAAACATGACAAACATATATTTACTAAAGCAAAATGAAAAAGAACTTTCACAGTTCAATTTTTAATAGATATTAACTCTAGAGCTGAAATAAGAATTTACCACAGCAGACTGTTGTGTTCCAAAAGAAAATAATTGAATGGGCTTTTTATTTTAATAAGCCCCAGGACATGATAAAACTAGCCTAATAAAAAGAGGGGAGATGGAGAAGGGAGAGAGAGAGAGAGAGAGAGAGAGAGAGAGAGAGAGAGAGAGAGAGAATGTGAGGCTGTCAAGTGGCTCAAGTAAAAGTACTTTTACTCAATCTGACGAGTTTGATCCCCAGAGCCATGTAAGGTGAAGAGAGAGAGCTGACTTACAAAGGTGTCCTGTGACCTCCTTGAGAACTATGACACACATGCCCCACCCACCCATGAAATAAGAAATGAAATGATAAAAAGAAGATGAGGCCTGTGACCAATTCCATTATAAATTCTGTATGCTGAACATTGAGATGTGGTGTCCTGTGTCTGTGAACTGGCACTCAGGAAGTTGAAAGTAGGGGTTTGCTGTAAGTTTGACACCCTTCTGTCTCTCAAACACAATGACTTTGAGGTCAACTTGGGTTCATGAACAAGAGCCTATCTCAAAAAGGGGGCAGGAGTTCTATTCCTTCTCAATGTCAATGGAGAAAGTTGAAGACACACTCTGCAGGTATGCACAGACCTGAGTTTAATCCCCATTAACTAAGAAAAACACATATCAAGACAGAGAAATATCCAGGGAAGCTCTTCAGTTGATCCTGATGCCAGTTTCTCTGAGTTTCTCTTGTCTATATTATATCTGCTGTTCTTAACTATTTCTCCACTGCAAAACCTGAGTTTTTCTTGCCTTGTCTGTCACAGGGTACTCTACAAGGATTTGGCTTCAGAAAGTAACCTAAAAAGAAAGAAAAATGACAGAAAGGCATGAAGGAAGGGTGGAAGAGAGGGAGAGAGGGAGGGAAGAAAAGAGGTAGGGATGGAGAAAGATCTTGCCATGATACCATCTTTTTACTTTTCCATGGAAAACTTCAAGAGTCATTCTCTGTGTGTTTTTCTCTGGGTACTATGTCAAGATATTGACAAACTAGAAAAAATAGAGATTCAAATAAAAGCAGAAAATTAAAAGTTAAACATGCAAAAATGGAGCTGTAGTTAGGGGCAAAGAGGATGTGATAGCCACTGTAAACAGGGGTAGCTAGTGATGAGAGAATTATCCAACCAGAAAACAGAGTGTGTTTTAAGATGATGAGCATCTTTCATTCTTAACAATCTTCACATCATCAACAAAAAAATCTATCAATGACATATCTGATCCAATTTCATAGGACATTTTCCAACCTCCCTCTACCCCTTAGTTTTACTACCTCTGATAACTGGTGTCCCAAATGTTGTGTTGATCACATCCAGTCCTTTAGGCAATCCTGGTGTTTGATCATGAGATTTTCCCAATGGTGCCCGTTGATTGCTAAAATATATAGATTCTTTTTTGTCTTTAATTTTCTGTTGAAACGTGGTAATGGGCTGTGGGTTTACCAATGTGCGTACCTAAAGAAATTATAGACTCACATGTATCAAAACAAGTATATGTAAGAAAACAAAAATCCTAATAGGGGATTAAAATCATCATTGGCTTTGCTCACATTCCTATGAACTGTCCAAAAAGTAATGAAAAGTTTAACATACCTGATTCAGAACTTTCAGCTAGGACTATATTCCCAGTTCTTAGGGAACTAAAGCACCAGGATACCAAGATCCGGGATGGAAAGGACTATAGAAAGTGCAAGGCCAGATGGAGATATGATTAGAGAGCTCACAGGGCTCTAAGTTCAAGCCCTGGAGCCAGGAAAAAAAAATCAAAAAAAAAAAAAAAAAAAAACAGGAAAGGAAAGAAAAAGACAAATATATAGCTCAATAGCTCTGCAACACAGCATTTGCCTAACAGACACAAGACCATGGGGTCCTATCCCAAGTACTAAATAAGTAAATAAATAAAAACCTTTCAAGGTAGCTAAGTTTACAATAGAACTAGAAGGCTCACATAAGGAATTCCCAAGTTATTGACTCACTTAAGAACAGCAGGCCTGACAAGCACAGGACACAAACCATTTCCAAAAACTTTCTTAAACAAATGCATCCCAGTTTGGGCTGTCATCCTAGCACTTGAGTAGTAGAGACAGGAAGATTGAGGCCAGCCTGCACTACAGAATAAATAATGCAAAGAACAAAAGATAAAAATGGTGGTGCATGCTTTTAGTCCTAACACTTGGGAGACATAGGCAGGTGGGTCTGAATTCAAGGCTAGCCTGGTCTACAAAGCCAGGTCCGAAACAGTCAGAGGTACACAGAAAAACCCCATCTCAAAAGCAAAGCAAACAAACAAAAGATATAAAAAGATTGAAAGCAAGAAGCAGGGAGATATGAAGAGAAAGACAAGAGAGAGAGATGCTGGGAATGGTGCATTGCCTGAAAAACAAATAAAACAGGACCTGAGAGATGCATCCAAAGGTATTATGGGATATGTATATACCATTTTATGAAGATATATTGTTATGATTGCTGGATGGCCAATAACTGGGCAGGAAGGAAAGGACTTCTAGGCAGAGAGAGGAAGTATGAGGTGATAAGCAGGGTTGGAAGAGCTGCCAATGTGATTGGGGGCAGGAGTCAGACATACAGAAAGAAAGAAAGGTAAAGAGCCACAAGGCAAAATGTACATTAATATAAATGTGTTAATTTAAGTTATAAGAGGCAGTGCAATAAGCCTAAGCTAAGGCCTAGTTTTCATAGTTAACTAATACTAAGTCTCTGTGTTGTTATTTGTGGGCTAGTGGTTCTGATGAGAAAACACATTACATGAAGGTACTTCCTACAACAAAAAACTGCCAATTTAAATTTGAACTCCAGATCCCATGTAAAAGTGAAAAAAAGAGAATCAATTCTAGTTGTCCTCTGGGTCCCTATATGCATGCCTGCACACTCATATCACACAAATACAGAGACACACATGTAATTATTAATTAATTAATTTTTTAAAAGACCAAGAAGATGGCTCAGCAGGTAAGGGAACTTGTTGCCAAAACTGATGCCTTGAGTTTATTCCCCAGAAATCACTTGATGGAAAGAACTGAGTCCGCCAAGTTCTCCACACATATACTACACAGATGTTGTAGCACATGTATGCATATATGCATACACACATCCATACACACAAATGTGGGAAAAGGTTTTTAAATAAACAAACAAAAAATAAATTAATCAATGATCAATTAGAGGGTAGGTGATTGGACTCAATGGTAAGTAGTGTTTACCCAGATTGCATAAGACCCTGAGTTCTGGCTTTCACCCCACCAAAAAAAAAAAAAAATTAAATAAGAGGCAAAGAACACATATAGAACAAAAACTAGGTAGGTAGATAACTAAATAGGTGACAATTATAGCAGGCATCCAATATCAAATATTCTGATCCCATGTCCACTCAAGATCTATATATACTCTCTGTTGTCCCTCAGGGCAAGAACAGCCAATCCTGACTGACAAGTGTAACATTTCTCTTTATTGGGAAAATGGGATGCCACTGCCTCATACTATCCAAGGAACAGTAAAGTCTGTGGTTTGAGCCCATGCTTCCTTCACACATTCTTGTTGCTGCTCCTTGAAAACTCAATCCATTGCCCAAGACTAGTGTTTTTAGAGGACAGGATGAGGAAAGGAAATACACACAGGAATTATGAATTTCACTTATACCATTATGTATGCAACTTTCTAACTTGGTAAATTAATAATGCAATGTAAATTATTAAGGAAAAAAAAGACAGGTTTACCGGTATTGAAATTTTAGATCTTATTCCATGTGTCAAACAAGGTGCAATTTGGGGATCATTTGCTCTGCCATAAAATACTCTTTCTGCTCCAGGAGGAGGATATCTGAAGTTGAAATACTTCTTTGCCTCTGGGGGAGTAATAAGCTGGAAAAGGTGAGACAAGAAAACAAGACCATGAAACACAAATGTTAAACTTAGTAAACATGAAACACAAATGTTAAACTTAGTAAAGAAGGAACTTCACACCAAAAATGAGGATATGTCCCCAAAATCTGTTTACTGATGAAAATAAAATACTTTAAATATTATAGTTTGAGGGGCTAAAGAGATGGATCAATCATTAAGAGCACTTGTTCTTTCAGAGGACCTAGGGTCAGTTCCAGCATCCACACTGGTAGCGGAAAGCTCTGTAACTCCAGTTCCAGGAGACCTGGAGATCTATTCTGATCTCCATAAACACCAGGCATGCATGTGGCACACAATCATAAATGCAAACAAAGCGAGTCCTGTAGCCTCAGCAGCTCCCTGAGACACAGACTGTGACGACACAAAGAGGATGGAAAGGTGAGTGACCAGCCTTCCAGCTGGACATCCCAGGCTCTAGCCCTCAGGCCCTGGGACAAAACCTCAGGTCCCTCCCCACCCACCTCAGTCACACTAGCAGGGCAATAGGCAATCCTCCTGCAGGCAGACTGCTCCAGCACCACCCTATTGGATCCTGTAATATACAAGTCCCACTCTGCCCCAAACCCACCCATCGCTAGAGACCTCAGTGGCTCTCTGAGACACAGACAACTGCAAGGATTGGAAAAAGAGCCTGCACCAATTGGAGGAAGAGATGAGTAGGCACCAATGCAATACATTTAACAACCTAAAGAGCAATAGGAAATTCATCAGTCAAAGAAAATGTTAAATCCAACAAATTCTTAACACAGAACAACCAGAAAATCTGGGACACCATGAAAAGATCAAGGTTAAGAATAATAGGGATAGAACAAGTCCACCTCAAAGGCACAGAAAATATGTTCAACAAAATAATAGAAGAAAATTTCCTCACCTTAAAGGATATGCCCAGGAAGGCACAGGCACAAGAAGCCTACAGAATACCAAATAGACTGGACCAAAAAAAAAAAAGTTCTCCCACCAAACAAAAATCAAAACACTAAACATAAGAGCTACAAAGGAAAAAGGCTAAGTAATATATGAAGGCAGATCTATCAGAATTACACCCAGCTTCTCAAAGGAAACTTCTAGTCCTGGACAGATGTGCTGCAGACACTAAGAGACCATGGATGCCTACCCAGATTATTATAACCAGAAAAGCTTTCAATTAGACAAAGAAAAGATATCCCATGACAAAACCAGATTTAAATAGTACCTATCAACAAATCCAGCCTTACAGAGAGTACTAGAAGGAAAACTCCAACCTAAGGAAGTTAGCTGAACATGTGAAACCACAGACAACAGATAACCTCTATTGTGGTAAATAAGGATCAGGATAAATAAATAGGCCGAATAGATGTTTATTCAGGGAGAAATAACTTACAACCTAGACAGATGAACACTAGGAAATTCAACCCGATCCTCTCCTGTCCGAGTTATGCCAGAAAGAAAGAGCCTTTCCTGGCCCCCTCCGACCTCCTTCCACAGGTCACTTCCACCCATGGCTCCACCCCCCAATGGGCGTGGTCAGTGCCACAGAAGGAGACAAAGTAAATATCCCACTACAAACCTCAAACAAGCAAACCACAAAGAAAGGAAATATACAAACACTACCACTGAAAAATAACAGGAATTAACACTCATTGGTATTAATATCTCTCAATGTCAATGGACTCAGCTCACCTATACAAAGATACAGGCTAACAGAGTAGATATGAAAACAGGATCCATCATTCTTCTGCTGCATACAAGAAACACACCTCAACCTCAAAGACAGACATTACCTCAGAGTAAGGGGTTGGTAAAAGACTTTCCAATCAAATGGATCTAAGAAACAAGATAGTATAGCTATCCTAATATCTAACAAAACAGACTTCAAACTAAAATCATTCAAAAGAGATGGAGAAAGTTACTTCATACTCATCACAGGAAAAATCCCATCAAGATGAATTCTAAACATCTATGCCGCAAATACAAGGGTGCCTACATATATAAAAGAAAAATTACTAATGCTAAAATCACACATCAAACCCCACATACTAACAGTAGGAGACTTCAACACCCCACTCTCACCATTGGACAGATCTCCCAGACAGAAACTTAACAGAGAAATAAGGGAACTAGCAGATGTTATGACCCAAATGAACATAACAGATAATTATAGAACATTCTATCCAAACACAAAAGGAGATACCTTCTTCTCAGCATCTCATGGAACCTTCTCTAAAATTGACCACATACTCAGTAACAAAGCAAACTTCTGCAGATTAAAAAAAAAAATTGGAATATCCTCTTGTACATTATCATATCACCATGGCTTATAATTAGAATTCAACAATAATTGGAGAGAGCCTACAAACTCATGGAAACTGAACAATGCTCAATTGAATCACCCCTGGATCAAGGAAAAATAATGAAAGCAATTAAAGACTTCCTAAAATTCAACAAAAATGAAGGCATAATATACCCAAAACTAAGAAAGCATTGTTAAGAAGAAATTCATAGCACTAATTGCCTATATGAAAAACAAGGTGAAATCTCACACTAGTGACTTAACAACAGACCTGAAAGCTCTAGAACAAAAAGAAACAGACTCACCCAGAAGGAGTACATACCAGGAAATAATCAAATTGAGGATTGAAATCAATAAAATAGAAAAAAAGAAAATAATACAAAGAATCAATGAAATAAAGAGTTGGTTCTTTGAGGAAATCAACAAGATAGACAAACTTTTATCCAAACTAACCAAAACATAGACAAAGAATATCCAAATTAACAAAATCAGAAATGAAAAGAACATATCCTCAGGAAAATGGAATCAGTCTACCTCAAGATCCAGAAATTCTACTCTTAGACATGTACCCAAAAGATGCACATGCATACAAGGACATCTGTTCGACTATATTCATAGCAGCATTATTTGTAATAACCACAAACTGTAAGCAACCTAAATGTCCCTCAAATAAAGAATGGATGGAGAAAATGTGGTACATTTACATAATGAAGTACTATTCAGCAGAAAAAAACAATGGAATCTTGAAATTCGAAGGCAAATGGATGGAACTAGAGGAAATCATCTTGAGTGAGGTAACCCAAGCACAAAAAGACAAACACAGTATGTACTCACTCATTATGGTTTTTAGACATACAGCAAAGGATTACCAGCCTACAATCCACACTGCCAGAAAAGCTAGGAAACAAGGAGGACCCTAAGGGAGACATACATGGTCCCCTGAAGAAGGGGAAAGGGACAAGATCTCCCAGGCAAATTGGGATCATGAGTGATGAGGAGAGGGAGTTAGGAGCAAGAGGTGGGCATGATGGAGCAGGAAGATAGAGTCAGGGAAAGAACAAAGGAGAGCAAGAAAAGAGATACCATAATAGAGGGAGCCATTATAGGTTTAAAGAGAAATCTGGCACTAGGGAAATGTCCGGAGATCTACAAGGATGACCCCAACTAACAATCTAAGCAGAAATATTGGAGAGGCTACCTTAAAGGCCTTTCTCCAATAATGAGATTGATGACTACCTTATATGCCATCCTAGAGCCTTCATCTAGTAGCTGATAGAAGCAGAAGCAGACACCCACAGCTAAACACTGAGCTGAAATCTTGGAATCCAGTTACAGACAGGGAGGAGTGATGAGTAAAGAGGTCAAAACCAAGCTGGAGAAATCCACAGAAAAAGCTGACCTGAACAAGGGGAGCTCATGGACTCCAGTCTAATAGCTGGGAAACCAGCATAGGACCAACTCAGATTCCCTAAATGTGGTGTTAGTTGGGAGGACTAGGTAGTCTAAGGGGCCTCTGTAGTAAATCAGTATTTGGAACTTTGGGAGCCGCCCATTCCACATAGACACATGGGGGAGGACCTGGGTCCTGCTCCATATATGACAGACTTTGAAGACTCCCCATGGAAGGCCTCACCCTCCCTAGGGAGCAGAAATGGGATGGGATGGGGGGTTGGTAGGGAGAACAGGGGAGGACAGGAGGGTGCAGGAACTGGGATTGACATGCAAAACAATCCTGTTTCAAATTTAAATTTAAAAAATATATAAAATACTATAAAAAAATCAATAAATAAAAAAATTGAAAAAAAAAAGAGGACAATAACAACAAACATGAGGAAATTCAGAAATCATCAAGAAACTGTAATCCACAAAATTACAAAAGTAATAGAAATGGACAATATCCTGGATAGGGATCACATACCAAACTTAAATCAAGAACAGATAAACAATTTAAATAAACCTATATTGTTGCTACACCATCCCACCCACACCAGCTTTAAACACCTCCATGCCTGTAGGAGGCTCCTTCAGATAAGGCATGCTACTCTGAGCCTTACTCTAAAGCACATGATTCCCCACATCTTATCCAAGGAAAAAGAACTTGTTGAAGAACATCTGTGAATGATAAGTGAGCAGAAGAAATTACCATAGGCTGCGGATGCAGCTAACTGATTAAGTGCTTGCTTAGCCTGTACCAAGGCCTAATACCAATGCTTCACCACACTGCTACAACAAATGAGGGGTAGGGGAGGGAGAGAATCATACTTATTAAAATGATAAAACTTGAAAATAAATTTAAAAAATAATAATAAATAGACCTACAACCCCTAATGAAATAGAAGCAATCATCAAAAGTCTCCCAACCAAAAAAAAAAAAAAAAAAACCCAGGGCCAGATGGTTTCAGTGCAGAATTCTACCAGAACTTCAAAGAAGAACTAATACCTATACTCCTCAAATTGTTCCACAAAATAGAACAGAATAAACAATGCCAAACTCTTTTTATGAGACTACAATAACCCTAATACCCAAACCACACAATAACTCAACTAACAAAGAATTAAAGACCAATCTCCCTCATGAACATTGATAGATACAAAAATACTCAATATAATACTGGCAAACAGAATCCAAGAACACATCAAAAAATCATCCACCATAATGAAGTAGGCTTCATTTTTGAAATGCAGGGATAGTTCAACATGGAAAATCAGTCAATGTAATCTGCCATAATAATGAACTGAAAGAAAAAAACCCATCTGATCGTCTCATTAGATTCTAAAAAAACTTACAACAAAATCCAACATCCATTCATGACAAAGGTCTTGGAGAGATCAGGGATACAAGGGACATATCTAACCATAATAAAAGCAATATACAGCAAGCTGACAGCCAACATCAAATTAAATGGAGAGAAACTCTAAGCGATCTCACTAAAATCAGGAACAAGACAAGGCTGTCCACTCCATATCTATTTAATATAGTACGTGAAGTTCTAGTGACAGCAATAAGACAACAAACGAAATTAAGGGGATACACATTGGAAAGGAAGAAGTCAAACTTTTGCTATTTGCAGATGATATGATAGTACACATAAGCAACCCCAAAAATTCTATCATGGAATTCCTACAGCTGATAAACACCTTCAATAACATGGCAGGATACAATATCAACTCAAAAAAAAAAAAAAAATATCAGTAGTCCTCCTATATTCAAATGGTAAAAGAACTGAGAAAGAAATCAGAGAAACATCCTTTACAATAGCCACAAATAATATAAAACATCTTGGGATAATGTTAACCAAAAGAAATGAAAGACCTGTATGACAAGATCTATAAGGTTTTGAAGAAAGAAATTTAAGAAGACATCAGAAAATGGAAAGATCTTCCAAGCTCTTGGATAGAAAGGACCAACATAATAAAAATGGCAATCTTAACAAAAGCAATCTACAAATGCAATGCAATGCCCTTCAAAATCCCAACACAATTCTTCACAGACCTTGAAAGAACAATACTCAACTTCATATGGAAAAACAAAAAACTCAGGATAACCAAAACAACCCTGTTCAATAAAGGATCATATAGGGGCATTACCATCCCTGACTTCAAGCTCAACTGTACAGCTATAGTAATGAAAACAGCTTGGTATTGACATAACAAAAAAACAAAAACAAAAACAAAAAAAAAAAAAAAAAAAAGACAGGTAGACCAACAGAATCAAATTGAAAACCCTAATATTAATCCACACACTCCTATGAACACCTGATTTTTGACAAAAAAAAAAATCTAAAATTATACACTTGGAAAAAAACATCTTCAGCAAATAGTACTGGAATAGCTGGATGTCGACATGGAAAAGAATGCAAATAGTTCCCTATCTATTTACCATGCACAAAACTCAAGTCCAAGTGGATCAAAGACCTCAAATATAAATCCAGCTACACTGAACCTCTTAGAGGAAAAGTGGGAATTAGCCTTAAATGCATGGGCACAGGAGATCATTTCCTAAATAGAACACCAGTAGCATAGACACTGAGAGAAACAATTAATAAATGGGACTTTCTGAAACTGAGAAGCTTCTGTAAGGCAAAGGACACAGTAAGACAAAGCAGCAGCCTACAGAATGGGAAAAGATCTTCATCAACCCCACATCTGACAGAGGACTGAACTCCACAATATACAAAGAACTGAAGAAGCTAGTCACCAAAATACCAAATAATCCGATTAAAAATGGGGTACATATCTAAACAGAGGACTTTCAACAGAGAAATCTCAAATGACTGAAAGACACTTAAGGAATTGCTCTACATCCTCAGCCATCAAATCAGGGATTTGCAAATCAAAATGACTCTGACATACCATCTTACACCAGTCAGAATGGCTAAGATCAACAGCACTGATGACAGTTTATGCTGAAAAGGATTCAGCATGCTCCTCCATTGCTGGTGGGAGTAAAAATTGTACAGCCACTTTGGAAATCAGTATGGCATTTTTTCAGAAAATTGGAAATCAATCTACCTTAAGACCTGGCAATACCACTCTTGGACATACATCCAAAGGATGCAGTCTCATACCACAAGAACATTAGCATAACTGTGTTCATAGCAGCATTATTCATAATAGCCAGAACCTAGAAACAACCTAGATGTCCCTCAACAAAGAATGGATAAAGAAAATGTGGTACATTTACACAATGGAGTACTACTCAGTGGTTAAAAAAAAAAAAAAACACAAAGAAAAAGGAAAAAAAAAAAAGAAAAAACAACGATATCATGAAATTTACAGGCAAAAGATGGAATTAGGAAAAAACATCCTGGGAAAGGTAACACAGACCCAGAAAAACAAAACAGGTATGTACTCACTCATAAGTAAATATTAGACATAAAGCAAGGGATAACCAGCCTATAGCCTACAATCTCAGAGGAGCTAGGTAACAAAGAGAACCCTAAGAGAAACAAATATGGATAGCCCTGGGAAAGGGAAATAGGCAAGATCTCCTGAGGCTGAAGGGGGAGAGGAGTAGGGGAGGGAAGAGGAGAGAATGTGAGGGAATAGGATGGTCAAGAAGGGGGAAGGACAGGGAACAGGATGGTCGAGATGGGGGAAGGACAGAGAGAGCGCAAGGGAAAAGATTCTTGATTGAGGGAGTCATTATGGGGCTATTGAGAAACTTGGCACTAAGGACATTCCCGGGAATCCCCAAAGATGACCCTAAGCATTAGTAGTTGACCAGGCCTTCCCCTGTAATCAGGTTGATGACTACCTTAATTATCTGCATCATGGAAGCAGATGCAGAAATCCATAGTTAAGCACTGGGCTAAGCTCCCAGAGTCCAGAGAGGAGCAAAGGGGTCAAGACCATTTTGGGGATACCTACATAGACAGCTGACCTGAACTAGTGTGAACTCACTGACTCCAGATTGACAGCTGGGGAACTTGAATGGGATCAAACTAGGCCCTCTGAATGTGGGCGACAGTTGTATCGTTTGGACAGTCTGTGAGGCCACTGGCAGAGGAACCAGGATCTATTCCTAGTGCTTGAACAGGATTTTTAGAGCCATTCTCTTTGGAGGGATACCTTGCTCAGTCTAGATATAAGGGGGAGGGTCCTGGTCCTGCCTCCAAGAGATGTGCCAGACTTTGTTGACTCACTAAGGGAAACCTTACCTTCTCTAAGGAGTGGATGGGGGAGGGGGAAATAGGAGGATGGGAGAGAGTGGGAATTGGGATTGGTATATAAAATGAGAAAAGACTTTTAAAATTAAAAATTATTTAAAAATGCAAAGTGCTCACATACATAAAGTAAAAAACTCAACTTTAAAACATGTTTTAAGATTATTGTTTAGGAGACTAGAAATGACTAACTAGAGCACCTGCTGTTTCTGTAGAGGATTTGAGTTCTGTTCCCAGCCCCCACATCAGGAGGCTCATACATCACCACCTATGACTCCAGCTCCAAATGATTTAATGCCTTCTCTAGCCTCCACGGATACCTGCACACATGGGGCACATAGTCACACAGAAGTGGGTGTGTGTATATCTGTGTGTGTGTATGTGATCAGGAAATACCCAGGTTACAACCCATCTCATTCCTACTAAAACACATTAACACATTAAATCCTTGAATTTTTTAGTAAACTACAGGAAATGTAAACTTCAATTTTCATTTTCTTGAACAAAATCAATACATGTCTTGAAAATGAAGTAAAAGTTCAAAATTGACCAAATTAAATCTGTGTACCCATTCATGGACTGAGAGTCCAGTCTCCTTCAGCTCTTACTCAAGGTACAAACAGAAAGGCTGGGAAGTACTTACCCTGGGAAGCTTCTCAGTCAAACAGGCTGCAACTCTGTATCCAACTGGCTTAACTTTTCCTGCCTTAGAGGGAGAAAACATTGATCATTTCAGGGTGAAAAGGGCATTGTAAAAGAATGGACTTTACTTCATTGAGGCCTGTGCCTCAAATGCTACAAAGGTTATTTCTTAACTACAATAAAATAAATGAACAATTAAATAAAAAAAAAAAGGCAGAAATGCAGTCAGTAATTCTGAGATGTTCTGAAGTGTTCTATTGTCTCCAACCAGATGTTTCTTTTTCTGTTTTGTTTGAGTCTGAGACTGGCTTTGTAGTATAGGGTGAACTTGAACTCCTAATTCTTGCCTACCTCCCTGGTTCTGGGAATAAAGATGTGTATCATGTCAACAAGGCTTTCCTCTTGTTTTAACAGACAGTTAAAATTGATGGCAATTCTCTGGCCTCAACCTCCTGGGGGTTGCAACCACAAGCATTACCATGCTTAGGCACAATCCTAACATTTTTCACTGTTTAACTATTTCATGTCCAAATATATGCATGTGTCTGTGTGTTTTAAGATACAGATATTATGTAGCCCAGGCTGGCCCCAACTCAAAATTCCTCTGCCTCGGTCTCTACACTTGTACAGACTCTCACACTTTTGATAAGTGAAGGCATGTTATCTGTAGCCCAGTCCCTAGAGAGAATAATCCAAACCCTATTTGGCTTTGCTCACTTTGTAACTTGGGTCTTATCTAGCATTCCTTTGCTCATAGCACGGCTTGTAAGAGTGTACCCCCAGAAACACAACACATACATCTTTCCTCTTTATCTCCTTCAAAGTAGCTGATATTTTTATAATGTGTTATAAAAATTGAAATAATTGGGAACTCAGCATGGTGGTTCATTCCTGTAATCCCAGCAGGGGCATTCTAAAGAGTTCAGGGCCAGCCTGAGTGAGTTACAATAGCAAAGTCCTGTCCAAAACAAATAAAAAGAACAGGGGCTAAGGATGTAACTCAGTCTAACATGCCTGAAGTCCTAAATTTGACCATCAGCACTGCAGAAACCAGGCATGCTAGGACACACCAGCACTCACTACTTAGGAGGTAAAGGCAGGAGGATTAGATGCTTCCAGGGAGGTAAAGGCAGGAGGATTAGATGCTTCCAGTCATCCTCAACGACATGAAGTCTGAGACTAGCTTGGGATACATGAGACCCTGACTTTAAAAAATTAAAATATCCTCTAAAAATCAAAATAAATCACCTAAAATATTCAGTGGGTTATTTGAGCTGAAAGTAATGAAAATCAATAGACACAAATCCTCTTCCCTACTCTTGCTCTGCTTAAAAGTGGGGTGTTGACTTGTGCTTATGAAGCAGCCCCAAACCCAGGAAGAGCAACCCAGCATCTGCAGACAGTCCATGGAGACAACCCTGCATAAACAGACTTTGGTTTCATTCTGTTGTTGTCATAAAGCATTGAGCAAAAACAATGTAGTGGAGGAGAGGGTTTATTTGGCTTAACACTTCCAGATGACAATCTATCATCAAGAGAAGTTGGTGCAGAAACCCAGGCAGACCTGCCTGCTCTTTTACCAAGGAACTCAGTCAAGACAGTACAGTAGAAACCTCGGAGCATAGCTGCTTGCTGGCCCATTAGCTCATGCTTAGCTTTCTTATGTAGCCCAGGACCACCTGCCCCAAAAATGGTGCAGCGCACAGTAGGCAGGGCCTCCTTGATTAACAATCAAGACAACCACTCTACAGGCATGATTACAGGTGCTCCAGTGCAATATAATCTGGATAATGCTTCAATAGACACTCCCCTCTAAGGTGACGCTAAACCAAGTTTCTCAACCTGTGGGTCGAAACCCTATTAGATGGTGGCACAACCTGTTCACAGGGGTGATATATCAGATAGTTTGCATTTCAGATATTTACAATAGAATTGATAACAGTAGCAAAATTACACTTAAAAAGTAGCAACAAAATATGCTTGGGGTCACCACAACACTAACATTAACTGTTTTAAAGTGTCACAGCATTAGGAAGGGTAAAAACCACTATTCCAGGCTGTGCCAAGTTGACAGGTAAAGTGCAGACAGACTCTACCAAAATAGCCTGTGTCTTGCATTATTTCTCCTGAAATATTTCCTAGTAGCAAATCTATAATCTATCATTCCTTGAAGACTAGTTCTCTCTCTCTCTCTCTCTCTCTCTCTCTCTCTCTCTCTCTGTGTGTGTGTGTGTGTGTGTGTGTGTGTGTCTGCGTCTTCTTCCTGACTGCCCCCTCCATCCTCTCTTTCCTCTACTCCCATCTCCTCCTACCTCTATAGTGACCAAGCTGTTCTAAATTTACTCTCCCCTTACCTAGGAATCCTAAGGAGCTGTGATTCACAGGTAGGAGCCACTGTGGCCAGCTTCTCAAACTCTCTTTTGTTAAAATAATAAGTTTCCGAGTCTAACAATCAATTTGAGGCTCACTTATTTTCTGTAAACCTCTGTACCTATAAATGAAGTGCCACTTTTCTGGTTAATCTTTCTTCTAATAATTGAATTACTATTTCTGCAGCTCATAAACCAAAAATAGCACTGTAAAAGTTTTTCCTCTGAAATAATTCAGTGAAAAACAGTCTTGTAGGGGTTCCATCCCATACCAAACAAAACAGTTCTGTATTATACAGTGAAATTTTTATTAGCTAAATGAAAAAAGACCATTTTTAATGTTCAAATGACAACTATGTAGAAGGGCATTTGGTGCAGATTTCGTCTTTCTATTGGCCCATTTAAACACCACTGCTCATTATTCATCCCATAGCCAAGCTACCCTGAATTTGTGGCAGTCCCCCAGCTTTAGCCTCCTGAAACCTGAGATCACAGGCCTGAGTCACCCCACCCAACTAGTCACTGTCTCTGCTGTCATATTAAAGAAGCTAAATCAGAAAACTTATCAATTTGAAGTAAACACAGAGTACAGAGAGAGCAAGGGATGAAGGTAAGGAAGAGGAGGAAGAAAGATGGTCTGAGAGAGAGAGAGCCATGCATGGCTCACAACTATAATTTTGTCAATTTGGAAGGCTGAAGCAGAAGCAACACTGAGTTCCAGGCAAGCCTGAGATACTATATACTGAGTTCCAGGCTGGCCTGCACTTCAGTGTAAGATAAGACTGCTTCAAAAAACTGTATTTGTGAAAAGAAAAAAGTGTGGGGGGGGAGGGGGGGAGGTACAGACACCTTTAGTTCCAGCACTAGGGAGGCAAAGGCAGGCAGATCTATGTGAGTTTGAGGCCAGTCTGGTCCACAAATCGAGTTCTAGGAGAGCCAGGGCTGTGGCATGAATTATAATTGGTCTTAATAAAAACTTGGGGTCAACTATCGGGGTAAAAGCTGAAGGAACAGAGAAGCAGAGCGGCCAGCCACTAGAGTTCTTACCTCTATGAATGCTCAGACCTGTCCTATAAGAATCCTCAGGCTGCTCTGAGCTCCAGTCTCCTCCTGCTTTATATTCATCTCTCCACCCATTCATATCACTCCTGTCTATCTTCCTAGTGCTGGGATTAAAAACTTGTGATCCCAAGTGCTGGGGTCATCTTTGTGTGAGCTGTTTCTCTTTTAGACAGATTCAATCTTGTGTAGACCAGAGTGGCCTTGAACTCACGTTGTTACAGTATAAACACAATATTACCACACAGGGCTGTTACACAGAGAAACCTTGTCTAGAAAAAACAAAAAAGAAAAAAAGTGGGAAGGAAGGAAAGGTAAGTGGGTGGCAGGAAGGGTGGAAGGTGGCAGAAGCAGACATTTTAGAACTACTCACTTTGGAAGCTATCTTCACTGGGGTTTTTATTGCTTCGATGAATCATCATGACCAAAAAGCAAGTGTGGAGGAAAGGGTTTATTTGGCTTACACTTCCATATTGCTGTACATCATTGAAGGAAGTTAGGACAAGAACTCAAACATTGCAGGAACCTGGAAGCAATAACTAATACAGAGGCCATGCAGGGGTGCTGCTTACTGGCTCACTTCCCATGGCTTACTTAGCCTACTTTCTCAAGAATCCAAGACCACCAGCCCAGGTATAGCAGCACTACCCACAAAGGAGGGGGGGGGGGCTTCCCCATCAATCACTAATTAAGAAAAATGCATTTTCTTAATTGTGGTTCCCTCTTTTCAGATAATCTTTATTTCTAGTTGTTATAAGACTAGCCAGCACAGAAGCCAAGGGCTAGAATGCATCCATGATTGAGGCCAGATCAGAAGCCATGAACAACAGAACCAATCCAGAAAGAAGAGCACACCCAAGAGAAGCAGTGGCTGGGGAAATTCAAGCACAGGCCAGAAAACAGAGTGGGTCAAAACCAAAGTACAAATTGAGCCCCAAGAGGAACAGAAGTCCACTGCACCCACATGAAACTCTGAAGGATGCCTGTAGGTTTGTTAGAATTTCACTTAGAAGCTCAGCATATGAACTCTACCCAAACTGTCTAAGGACCATTGAAACAAGATATTTGCTCTAAATTCCAGGCTGAAACAGGAGGATTCAAGACCATCCTACACTATGTGAGACCCTGTCTGAAAAAATAAACCACCAACAATAATCATCTCTTCAATGGTTGGTTTTAGTGCACACCTTTAATCCCACCACTCAGGAGGCAGAGGCCAGCCTGATCTAGGACAGCCAGGGCTGTCTCACAAAAACCCAGTAATAATAAACATATTCTTTAAAAAATAATAATCTGTACTAGCTAGTTTTCATGCTAATGTGACATAAGCTGGAGTTTTCAAAGGAGAGGGAAGCCTCAATTAAGGAAAGACCTTCCTAAAACCAGGCTATAGGCAGGCCTATAAGGCATTTCCTTAATTACTGATGTATAGACCAAGGCCCAGCCCATTGTGGGTGGGGTCACCCTGGGCTGGTGGTCCTGGATTCTCTATGAAAGCAAGATGAGCGAGCCAAGAGGAACAAGCCAGTAAGCAGCACCCGTCCATGACCTACATCAGCTCCTGACTCCAGGTTCCTGCCCTACTTTGAGTTCCTGTCCCAACTTCCTTTGATGAGGAACTGTAATGCAAAAGTATAAGAATAAACCTTTTCCTCCCCATCTTGCCTTTAGTTGTGGTAGCAATAGAAACCCTAACTTGGCCCAACAAAAGCTTTGTTATTTGTCTGTCCAAACACAAAACAAGCCTCACTACTCTATCATCTTGGTAAAGACACAGCTACCACATATTCAAGCGGAAATCCTAGGGAAAACAAAAAGCAAACACAACAGGAACTTACGCTTGGCCAGCAAGGCATCCGATCAAAGAATTTCCCAGAATATATGGGCCTGATGTGGGCTGGAGCCTCTACTCCAGGTTCCATGGACGCAGGCTCCTTTTTCTCTTCAGGTTGTTGGGCAAATGACCACTCAGAAGGTTCTGTCACTAAACCTATTTGAGGCTCTGCATTCTTGGCTTCACCTGATTCCTGGGTTTGTGGCAACCCGATGTCTACCTCCTTAGGGGGCATTTCTGCGTAGGGGTTCACCACAACACAGGTGGGCTCTTTTTCCAGTTCTTTTCTGAGTTCCAAATCTGCAGTGGGCTGCTTTTCCACTATAGCACCCTTCCACGCAGGTCCGCAGGAGGCAGGTCTCTCCGTGCTCCCTGCTGCCTGTGGACTTCCATGCCCTGCTCCCAAAGGAGGCTGTGGTGTCCCTCCTTTGGGTGGAAGGCCCTTGCTTTCTGACCCCACTCTTCCTGGTAACACACCCAGAGATTTTGGCCCCTGGAAGGAGGAATGCCTGTGGGGTCCTAAATTACTCAACTCCACGGGTGTCCTAGAAATACTATGTCTTTCTACTCCTACACCAATAGCATGGCATGGTGCTGATTTTGTTTCTGGCGATGCCATCCTCTCCCTACACCTTCGATTTTGCCCTAGTCTCATTTCGAGCCCCAGCTCCAAGGGAGATTTTGAATCACTAAGTGTCCTGTCCATTATATCATCCTTTTGTTCCTGAGTGAGTCCAACCTCCGTGATTTCAGGTGCCCTCATCCTCCCCGGAGTACTCATCTCTAACGGGGAAGCTGTACTTGGCTCCAGGGAAGTTTGCAAAGCTTTGGGGGACCCCAGTCTCACAAATGAACACATTCTCCCAGTACTCCCTGCCGGCCAACTGCCTCTTGCCTACTGCATTACACCTTGGAGAAAGGAGAGTAGCTGAGTCTGTCTGTTTACCCCGTTACCTGGGAAACAGACTTGGGCGGGGCTTGGCGAGCAATTCTTTCCTGTAACCCAAACCCGCCCCCATCTCTCATTCATGCAGCCTTACAGCCTTACAGTCTCAGGTTTCACCCCTTTTCTTTCCCAGAGCCTGATTTCTCTCTCTCTCTCTCTCTCTCTCTCTCTCTCTCTCTCTCTCTCTCTCTCTCTCTCTCTCTCTCTCTCTCTCTCTCCCTCTCTCTCTCTCTCCCCCCTCTCTCTCTCCCTCCCTCCCAGAACCCCATTCTTTCTTGATTGCTTGCTTTTCTTCCTTTCTTTTCTTTCTTCTTTTCTAAGAATATTATTTTTAATTATGTGTATGCGAGTGTGTATGTGAGAGAGAGAGAGAGAGAGTGTGTGTGTGTGTGTGTGTGTGTGTGTGTGTGTGTTAGATGGCACAAAGGCCAGATGTGCTGTGGGTACAGACACTAAAGTTACAGGAAATTGGAAATTCTGAGGGGGCTAGGAACCAACTGAACTCTCTGCAAAAGGAGAAAGATTTTAATCGCTAAGCCATCTCCCCAGTCTCAGTCTGTGTTCACACGAATCCCAAACACCTCCCACTACACACACACACACACACACACACACACACACACACAAACACACACCCGTTTCTTTTTTACTATAGAAGGCAGGAAAACTTGAGCGATGTGTCTTTTGGATACTAAGCCTATCATCTGTCAAGTTCTCTTTAGTTTCCTAAGTTATGCAGTCCTATTATGATGGTTTAAGTAGACTGAGCTAGGCATGATGGTGTATATCTGCAATGGCAGAAATCAGGAGGATAAAGTAGAGGGGTAGCCTTGAGTTCAAGGCCAGACTGGTAAAAGAAACAGGCAAAGAGGAGGGAGATCCAGTCAGGGAGATTTAGTTCTGAAGGTCATTGGCCTCTTCACTGGTGAACTGGGAGCAAATATTTTGTGACTGCTTCTTTTAGGTGTTCCCTTGCCCACAAGTATCTCCAGTGCTTAGAGTTATTTTAGTGCTAAAGAATCAGGGGTGGGCAGGGCCTATTATCACACACCTGTAATGTCAGCACTCAAATGGCAGGGGCCAGAGGATCTCTGTATCAGGCCAGCCTGATCTACAAAGGAGGTCCAGACCAGCAAAGGTTACTTAGCTACTTAGTGAGTGAGACTCTGTCTCATAACCACTACATATACTCCCCCCACAAAAAAATAAATAAATAAAAGTAAAACAAGTAGACAGCCATTTTCCCTACTGTTGACACTACATCGTGAGTCTCAGCCAAGCAACCCCTCTTCTGAGGATTCATGGAGACAGAATAGCCCTGTTGTAGGGTCTGTGTTAGAGATAAGAATTCTCTAGTGGCTGGCCACTTTGCTCCTTTAATCTTTCCGCTCCCCCCAATATCTCACTCTGGGTTTTATTATTAAGAATAATTAAAATCTGTGCTACAACTAGGCTTCAAATTATATTAAGTGTCTATGTTAAAGTTTGAAGGCCAGGCACAGTAACACAAGCCTGTAACCTCAGCACTCAGAAAAAAGGCAGAGTAACTGCATGCTCAAGACCAGCTTGACCTGCATAGGAAGACCCTTTCTCCACCAAAACGGTTGAGATGCAACACAATAATACATATTGTAGTTTATAAACATGATGACTGAACTTTATTGCTTTTAAATGTAGGATATTCCATAAATTGGAGTTGTGTGTTTTGTTTTGTTGTTTCTCTTAGAGGTGAGATATATTGTAGCCCTAGCTGGCCTGTACCTTAAAATTCTATAATTCTGTATCAGCTTCTCAGGACAAAGATTATACTTATGTGTGCTCACAGCTTCAATCTTTTTTTTTTTTTTTTTCCTTCTTCTTCTTCTCCTCCTCCTCCTCTTTGGGGAGGGAATTAGAACCAAGGCCTCACAGGCTAGGAAAGTGCTCAGTCACTAAGCTGTACCCAGGCCTTTTTACATTTTGAGACAGAGTCTGTCTAAGTTGCTTAGGGTGGCTTTGAATTCTCTCTGTAGCCCATGTTGGCCTTGAATTTGTAATTCTGCTTCTTCATCTTCTAAAGTAACTAAAATTATGGATAGGACTGCAAGATTTTTGTTTAAGTGTGTGTGTGTGTGTGTGTGTGTGTGTGTGTGTGTGTGTGTGTGTTTGTGTGTACATGTGAGTATACAGGTAGGTATCTTGCAGAGCTCAGAAGAAAGTGTCAGATGCTTCCAGAGCTGGTGTTACAGGGAGTTGTGAGCTGCCTGACTTGGGAACCTGGATCCTCTGCTAAAGCTATATGAAGTTTTAACCACTGAGCCATTGCTCTAACTACACACACACACACACACACACACACAGCCTTTTGTTTTGTTTAGTTTTTTTTTTTTTTTTTTTTTTTCAAGAGAGGGTTTTTTTTTTTATGTAACCCTAGCTGTCCTGTGGGGTGATATATTATTTATGATTTAATAAGGCTTGCCTGAGGATCAGAATGCAAAGTCATAGATGAAAGCAGTGGTGGTACACATCTTTAATCCCAGGACTCAGAGAAGACAAGAGGCAGCATGGATTAGACATTCTTGATGTATTAATTACCTGTATATTTTTATATACTTATTGTATATAGTTTTTCTTATGTTAGTTGTAGCCTTCCTTTCTTCCTTTTTATATTAGACAACAAAGGGGGAATTGTGGTGATATATTGTTCATGATTTAATAAATCTTGCCTGGGGGACAGAATGCAAAGCTTGCCACATTAGTTAGTCATAGACACCAGACAGTTGTAGCACATACCTTTAATCCCAGGACTCAAGAGACAGAGCCAAATGGATCTCTGAGTCCAAGACTACCCTGAGTTACATATGAAAGACAAAAAAGTAAAATTAAAGAAACCCCTCACTTGAAATGAAGGACTAACCTGGAAACCAATATCTGTTCCTTGGAATTTGCTAACTTCCCCTCACAAGGCCCTGAGATAACAAGATACCAAGAATTCACACTGCCCCTCCTTTCTTGTGAGTCAGCAGGTGGTGAATAGGGTCCGTAGGAAACAGAGATAGCTGTAACTCCAGTTGGCCCAGACAAGATTAATTAGCACACCCTGAGGCCCTAAGGTCTGTTGACCCTAATAGCGAGACCATCCGGCCTCAAAGGGTCAAGTACTCAATGGACTGAGGGTCCCACCCCCTCCCTAAGCTTGTGGGTTTGCCTTTAACACCTGTGCCCAGGGAAGGGGGCTTCTCTCTAGATTGCTTGCTGGAAGAGCCCGTTTGCGCAAACGTTTCCTGTTCATTAAAGCCTTTTGTGTGTTGCAGCAACTGGACTGGACATTGAGTTCTTGGGGATACCGACCGAAATTGGGAGACTCCTCATTCTGAGGAGGGTCTTACACATAGTAACAGAGCTCATAATCCCAGCACTAGAGCGGTATGTAAGACAGGAGGGCTCAATGTCTCAGGCAGCATTCTGTATTCAATATTCTGGCAATTAGTCTCCAACCACTTTGAGGTTCCAGCCTTGGTAGAGGTAACAGCTCTCTAGTGGCTTGGCTGCTTTGCTTTTTTGATCTTCAGCTTGAACCCCAATATCAGTCTCTAGGTTTCTATTATTCATTCTACAGTGTCAGAAGCTGTTTCTGTGGGGCTGCTATAGGAACCAGCCCAGCACCAACCCCAGGTCTGTTTCTGAGTCAGGGAGTATGGATGAGGGAAAGGCTAGCTAGCAGAATTAAGAGACCGAAAACACAGGTTAGTCACCAGGAAAGCAGATTCAGTCCATATTGAATGCCCCATTTATTTCATACCTCCAAACTCAAGTAATCAACCAAAGGAGGGATCAATCACAGAGGACTCCTATTATTATGTATAAAGGGCAAACAGCAATTACTTCCCCTAATCCCGAAGACACTCCACAACTGCAAGTACTCTCTGCCTTTAGGATGAGTGTGAAGCTGTCTGGACCCAAGCCTATTGTTATTTAGAGAAGAGCCATTCACCACTGAGGCCCAGGCATCCTGTAAGCCAGTAAACTAAAAATGTCTTTAGGGCAATAGCAATGCTCTGAGCTCTCTGAACACATGGCAAGATTGAAAGGATTCCATACATGGTCCCGACACTGCAGTCCTAGAACTTGCTCTATAAACAGGTTGGTCTTGAACTCAGAGATCCATCTGCTTCTGCCTCTGCCTCCCAAGTGTCAGGATTAAAGGCATGTGTCACCATCTCCTGGCTAGGATAATTACTTTTATGGAAGAAATTGTCAGAATGAAACTTATTTCTCTGCATGCTAAACCCCACATATAAAATGAATTAAATTTCAAAAGAAATTAAAAGAATGTTAACCAAATAAACAAAGAAGGAAGACAACGGAACACCAACTGTAGCCTTCTTTCCCCACTGTCCACATCTCCTGTGGATCCCAGAGACCTTTTCCTCCTAATCTATCCCAGAGCTAAACTCCAGCAGGTACTCCCTGCTAAGTCACAGGCTACTCCTGCCAGGAAAGCAGGTAAACTGTAAATCTTCCCCTCTCCTTCTGTTTCTTAGATTCAACAACCTGTACCCAGTATCACCCCTAGCTCTATAGCTGACACTCTGTGGTGACCTCTCCACTGTCTTCCCTCTAAACAAGCAGATCCTGCTGGACACTGTGCTCTCCTTCCTTCTGTGAACCTTTCAGGCCCCTAGCCTAGCCCACCCCTAAGTGTCCTGTGGACCCCCTCAGATCCCTACCCTAGCCCCATCCCTACGTGTCAGCTCCCAAAACCCAGAAACATATTTTACCTGGAACCTTGGTGGCCACAACTATCAGGTCCAAAGAGTATTTCCTACCAAGCAACACACAGTCATCACACTCTTCTAAAATTCAGAGAAGAAACAGAAGCTAAAGAAAAAAACACCCATCTAACAATATCATCCAAATCCCAGATGCCTAAAAGCCAGTTTAAGAACAGTCAGTAACAGCCAGGACAATGTCTCCCACTAGAGTC